TTCAAAGAAGTCCTGGCTCGAAAAGCCAAGGAAAACCAACACAACGCGCAGGTCCAGGAATCCAAAATCCAGAAATCAAGATCACAAAAGCCAAGAAGCCAGAAAGCTAAGAAGCCCACGGCTCGGAAGCCGAGAAGCCAACAAGTCATCTTAAACAACGTTAAATATATACTTGAACAAACAAATCCCCCAATTGAAAAATCAACAACTATCGCTTTTGCTTAGTGCTCACAATCCTTACATGCCCAGTCTCTCCCCAACCTATTTTCTTGCCCAGCTGAACTCGAACCTTTGGCGTCTACTTCGAGCTCGAAGCCTGGAAGCAGCCTCCGTGCCGAAAGCGAGCTGGCAACTTCTCTTGTCAATGGTGCGTGACTGAAACCGAAGATGGCTTAGCTGGCCTTGCCCTGACCCGCACTGTCGCGCAAGTGACTCCATCTGCCTACAGCAGGCGCACGACCGGAGCGAGTCTTGTCTCTTGCGCTCAATCCTTGATGCATCTCCGGTTGCTTCGTGTTTGTTCTGGCCTCGTCCAGCAACGCCACGCCAAACCTCTCGTGCCTCTATCATGGGACATGAGGAGACAGACGAGTTCGCAAGTTCAGATAACTGCAAAAAACATCTAAACATGGGCGCACTGTTGTAGACTGTAATTACATGCACCATTACTACACAGCATTGATGTCCTCGCAAGCCCGTGTCTCAATGCCTGAGCAAGCTCGTTGCTTTGTCGCTCGCTGTCAGAGCATCGTACAACTTGATGTCTGTCGCTGCTGCCAACGCCTGCGCACAGAATCACACACGTACACCACTCACAGCGCACCACTGGCTCATGCTTTCCACCCTAAGTTGCGTACTGTTTCATGAAAGGCAGCATATTCTGGAGACTGATCCTGCCCGGGCGGATCATGGCTCTTGTGGCCAATTCCAGGAGTTCTGCGGGCCAAACACTTCTCAAAGGGTGTCGCACTTGAGATCTTGTGTCTCGTGCAGGCCGAACTCCAGGACTTCAGGATGCTGGCTGGGAAGGTTGCCGGGCTTAGCCGTTTCAGTGAAGTGGCGCTCTCAGAGATGCCAATTTACCTCACCAGCTCGCACGTTGCACTCAAGGACGAGGTAAACCCTTAGACTCAGATCTTAGCCCCACAGAGCTGCGACCCAAGCGTCTGTCAATCCGATCCCTTTCGCGCAGTCGCTCCGAGAGTAGCCAGCCTGCACAGAATGAGACTGGGCCCGACTGACACTCAAGTACCACCGAGACTTACATACGTGCTACAAACAAAGAGGGTATAACTTTAAAAGAACCTATGTATATACTTTGTACACATGTATAAATGTATAAACATGTACACACACACATACATGTCCATGTATTTGCCTGTGTGCCTTTGGAAGAACGAACTTCCAGGCTGTGATACTGGTGTGGCCCATCTGCTGATACGTTTACTCATTTCATGTTTGTCCTGAGCAACGACGTGTATGTTGTAGCGGAGAGTCACATTCATACACCAAGCGGCTAGGCTGTGCAGCCGCATGATGCCGCATATTGCACAAGTGTGCCTCTCTGTCATCATGTAGTGTAGTCGCAAATCTATCTCCAAACACTTCCTTGCAACACGCACGTTTGGACGGGTTGGGGCTACACTTTGCACACAGCCCAGGGCCTAGGAGGAGCTCCAGCTCCTGACTCTGCCCCGCACTGTCGGACACGGTGGAGCATGTACGACTCTGAGTGAGATCTCATGGAGCCAGAAGCAATCATTCCTCTATTATCAAGTCTCAGTAAGTCTAGCCGGCAGATCAAAGACGCAAAGACTTAAACTGCCAATGCTGGAGAGGAGGTCCTTGGCAACCTCGAGAGCGCGCCGGCCAGGTACAGGCGCCTGCAGCCAACCCAAGAAAACAAGCTGGCTTTGCAGTTTCTCTTCCCCACGAGGCCTGCGAGACGTCCGAGCGCCTGGCACACGGACCCAAGGTCAACATGTACACAGAGTGGTTGTCAAGAAGAAAACTGTCAACCACGAGACTGGCACGTTCCTCAACAAGCTAAAGCATGCACATTGAAGACTTCAGACATGAGCGACATGTCATGCCGACAATGGACCATGACAGCCGCATCCATCTTCCGAGGCGTTGTTCGGCATTTCGTACCGTGTAGGCCTCCACAAACTTTGACGTGGATGAAGGTGATGAAAACTTCACTTACTGTACTTTGGAATGATGAAACCAGTGATTAACCTGACACTGCCGGACACTGCAGTGTTGGCATGATGACATTGAAATGCCAACAATTTGGAATGGCTTTGGACAGAAAGCAACTGCTTCTGCCAGATTCTGCTTGAGAAAGGTAGTACTGCTGCAGTCCCGCTAGCCTTGCTCGTTTGGTTTGTACATGTGTGCGGCTTCCCAGTCATTATTTTTGCCTTATGCTGTCGCCTGCCTGCACTCTCAGGTGTCCTTCCTTTCTTCTTACATAACATTTCCTTCCGACTCAAACGTGGTCCCTGTGCTACGATTAAACTGTACTTGCATCCGGCGGTGAATTATGACTTTAGAGAAGCATCCTAGCGTACTCTTCGTTGTTGGCCTTGAACCGAAGCATGCGAGTCCTGCACTTGCCTGTAAAAGCACTTCAGGCCTCGGAACAGCATTTACTTCCGCCACGATTTCGTCGCTGAAGTCCAGGCACCTCTTCAACAAGCACAGGTCACTGCTGGCGCAATCAAGCAAAGGCAGAGACATCTCAATCTCTGCCTGGCCACAGGATCCTGAGCTTCTCCCGGATCCCTTGGTGAAGCAAGTCAGGTCTGATCAAAACATGCCCAAGCAATCCCAGCTGGACCGTGATTGTCCGCACATGGCTGCCCCGGAAAAGGAAACCTTGCATTCGATGGTCCTTCAGAGTCCAGACGACACACGGACTCTCACACTGGCTGTACCATCGCGAATGTTCCGTCTTGGTCTGACAACATACAAGAAACCCTTAAGTTCAATGCGCACAGAAGACAGCTGGCTTCTCTGTTCCACTACTAACAGCCCATGTGGTAATTGGATCTAGCAATACCCTGGCCATCTGTACCCCCAGGTCGAGAGGTGATGGCTTCAGCATCAGGCCGCATGCCCCGTCTGTGAGCCGGGGGCCCCCGACTAATACTTCGGCGAAGGATCCTGCAATTCCAACCCAAGCCGGCTTGGGCGTACCCATGCAGATTCGCCTGGCACCCTCTCCCCTGATGTCCAGGCTCCGCCCGAGGGGCGTAGAGGATTGAACTCTGCACCGGAGTTCCGATGATGCATGCAGAGGGGCAGACCGTTTCCGTGGGCCCTTATTTGTCTCTGCTTCTGTTGGAACTACACTGCACACGCTACGGCTGACAAAACCCTAGAGCACCTTCATGTCATTCAAACTTCACGGTCCTGGTGATCACCTTCGATACGTTTGCCCTACAGCTTGTGTTCCAATTTTTGGCAAAAATGTCTGGGGCTGAAGACAGACGTTCTCAAGAGACTTCAGAATGATTAGTAAAAGGTCGGCATCTGTGTAGCTGCCTGGCTAGCAGAAACGCTCCTCTAACCAATGCTTCACCACGGACGAGATGAGCGCGCAAGTAGTTTGGGATGTACGTAAGCCCATGAGCAAAAATTAACATTGTCGAAAGGCGAGTTCCGCTCAGGCTATGCGCTTCAGCTCGCAAGCGGCTCCCTCCATTTTTTTGCCGATCAAAAGAAGCCAAAGTGTCCCATTGCCAGGGGCAATCCATCCCCGTTAGACATGCGCGGCAGAACCGTCAGAACATGCCTAGAACGTTACGGAAGCCGGCGAAACGAAAGGCGCGAAACGAAAGGCCAAAATGTCACCGAGAAGGCACTTCAGTTGTGAATCCTGCTCTGGTAAGCTGACTGCAACCTCAGCCACGTTTCTGCTTCTCACTCCGTACTCCGGCAGCACATAGCAGCATCAAGCAAACGCTCAGCATCACAAACATTGCGACGTGAACCCATGCGATTTCGACCAGGGCTGCATGCACGATGCTGTCGGAATCTCGCTGTGAAGCCATCGTCTCGCGAAGCTTGAGAACCTGGCTCCCACCGAACAGCGATCCCAGCAGCAACACCAAAGCAGCAATGTTTTGCCAACATCGGTCACGAACCAGGCTGACATAGAGCATTGACATCAATGCCAGGAGCATGGGAAGCTGCAAGATCAGAAGCCGATCTGGAAATTTTGGATGCTCATCTCGTCCCATGTAGAACGGCCTGCTACTCGAGAATTTGCCGCGTAAGCTCTCCACGTCGAAACAGAGGTCAATCAAAACATATCCTTGGAAAACCCCGACGGCGGCCGCTCGAAAGATTTCTGCGATGCCGACGCGCACATGTGCTGTCATGCCGGACTGTCTCAGGCGTGATATTAGTCCGATGACTTGTACAGCATCTCATCAGCACATCTGCTCTGTTCAAAGTTGTCAGCTCGAGCGAAATGCTGCATGACGAGTCAAGTATTGCCTCATGCCTGTTGACTTCTGCTTGAGCCAGGAATATGTCCCCAGGAGGAATACAACAGGGGCATCGCACACATCGACCCGGCAGCTGTGCCCACGGCGCAGAGACATGCTCCTCAACCTGACAAGCCCGTCGCTGTCTCAAACATCCGACTTTCAGCAGATATTACAAGAATATGCAAGAATCTAACACGGCACGTATCTTCACACGGATGGAATTCAGAAGTAGGCCGGAAAGTGCGCCGAACATGCGGCTTGTGCAACCTAGAGACTGGAGAGCCCAAGTCCAAGCCCAAGTGTCAGCAGAGAGCGGCCGAGCAACGAAGCGGCAGCTTGATGTTGCAATGCCAGAGGTGAAAACCTGGTCCTGGACCGTCTCCGGCGCAGCCTCTGCCTCCAGACTTTCTGTTCGAATTGCAGGTGCCATGTGCCTTGTAGCAAGATCCCGTCCTCAAATATTGGTGAGGGCCAAGAGCTATCCTTGTTGGCCTCGCCAGCACCTCACAGTCAACTGCAGCGGCCCCTTCACTCCAGCCTGAAAGCATCCAAATTCAAAATCCATGAGCAGCGAGTCAAGATTGCGATGAAACCGTTACTTTTGCATTCTGTGTTTTGCCACATAGTTTCCGACAGTTGCAGGACGAGCCGCTCGGGATGGCGAGCCTGCCGAGAGGACGCAGCATGCTGCGTTGCACACTCTCTTCTCTCCGGTGCTGCAGAACATTCCGCATTCACCATTGGTGACGAGTCCCCGTCAGGCCCAAGCACATCCCAAAGCAGGATCTGTTGCGTTGCTTTCCCATGCGCGCCTTGCCCATGCCAACTGGTCGACCTGCCCAGCAAAAAATATCACCATACTAAAACGAGCAAAATAAGCTACTGCACTGCCACTGACAGTTGCTACAACTACCAATGTGTGGCTGTCATCCGCAGACCACCTCTCCGGTCTGTGGTGAAGACCAGGGCGGCTCCCATTGGATGCCCTTGCAGCGCAACACTGCACGATGCAATTTCAGTTCACAGAAGCACATCAGTCCAGCAGCATCTCCAACAGATTTCACCACATGCTGATCCGCCTGCGCCAAAGCTCTTGTAGGCGACTGCCAAGCAAAGCTCATGGCAAGAACGGCCGTCGCAGACCGTTGCAATGGATGTGCGGCTGTTTGTGCAAAGAGCCCAACCACTTGGTACTGCATGCTGCAGGCCCGTGCTCACAATGGGTGTTTCAGACGTTCTTGCTGAAAGGGTTACACACAACAAGGGTCCGAGATGTTGCTGCGCAACCCTCAAGCTGGCCGGAGAAATCAGTTCTAATCAACAGCTGTGAAAGGCACTCGCAAATGCCAGATGCTGCAAGTGTTGAGCTCGGCCCGGGCAGGTGCCTTTGGTTGGATCCAGAGCCTGGCTGCATCAGACCGACCATGGCATCGCTCTGCTCCGACTGCAAAGGCTGCAAAATCTTGCAAGCAACAAAACAAGCTACTGGTAAACGCGGCAGGAGTGCAAGACGCCATGTGCTGGTCGCTGGACGGAAAGCTCAATGCTTTGCCAATCCTATAAGTCCAGGCAACATCACAATGAATCAACTTCGGAACTCGTGACAGGCCGTTGTGGCGATGGATGTGATCCTTTGGGCCTCGAGGCGGCTCTCCCAGCGGCAAGGCAGCTGAAGCACCTCCAAGCATGCTGGCCGCGTTGGAGATATGTCAGATATGTACTGTGCAGCGCAAGCTCCATGCACATGTGGGCCTTTTGACGACAATCGGTCTTGTTGTCTTTGTTGCGTCTTGCAAGAAACAAAAGCTTCCCCTTGGTTGCCTCCGACCATTTGTCACAGAAACATGCGTTTCGATTGTTGCTCTTTCAAAGGCACGTCGGGGACTTCGTCCATCAGCTTCCTGGCTCCAAATGCATCTGATGTACCATCGGCCCTGCAGGTGTCTTTTATTCCTGTCAGATGCCTGTGCATTGCGAATGTTATCGGCGCGCTGAGTTTCCTTTGTCGCCTTGTGGCCACGCCTTGCGGGATGACCCTTGCCAACGCCTGGCATTGCGTCGATCGAAGATGTCGAAGTTCAAAACCAGTTTGCAACCTATTAGGTTCGCGGCTTCAGCCTGCATGACAGCAGGAAGTTGCACCGCCATGTGGTAAACTTCAATGTGTGGCATACTGGTCGAGCCCCGGCCTCGGCGCTGTGCGACACGATCCGCAGCATCTTTGTGCTGACCAGCGGAAAGACGTCGGCGCTAAAGCCTGATTTTGGTTGACCTCACAAACGCGAAGAATACTCTGTCTATATGTGTGGGGCTTGGCACAGACTGCACTCGTTGACTTGTTGCATCCTCGAGTATGCCCTAATCCCGGCCTGCATGCAGTGCGTTTAGAGCTCGCAGATCTATACCTGGGCTTGTTGCGCATGCCCAAGCATCAACAGCCGTCACAAGCCACAAAGCAACACTTCCCCTTCGATATCCAACATGCAGCTCTGCTGACTAGCGGCCCTGCCAGGGATCAAGATCGTTCGGTATGGGACGCAGTCGTCTTGGCCACAGTGCTCTACAAAGCACGTCCAGACAATGCGGCCATGTTCGTGCTTCTCAGTGCTCCAGAATGGACTACCATCGCTGGCACGCTTCAAGCTTAGTTGCGGGTGAAACTGCAACTCAGTCTAGCTCAGTCTTCCACCTCGCCAGCCACTCGGACTCGAAGGCAGCAGCGTGCAGTGTCCACGAGCATGGCGGAGCAAGTACCTGCGCCATTGCAGACCTTTAGCTGCACCACTTACCTTCTGTTGACGCTTGTTGCCTACACATCTGACCTCAAACGCGGAGAACGAAAGGGAATTACTTCCTGTCACGTGCACGGTCCGCAGCTGAGAAGCCGAGTGCCTTCAAACCGGTGGTGTGCAGTGCATGGAGGCTCTGAGCGAAGATGGCGTAGTGGCTGGCACGGGGAAACTGCTGCTTGTAGGGATTCACACCCTGACCTTCAAGAACTGTTGCTTTTCATAGTCTCCTGACATATCTAAGCACGAGCCGGCAGGACTGGAATCTCCAGTCCTGGCATGAGCTTGGCAGACCAGGTGCTACAAACATCTTGAAACAGTTCGGGTATTGTCTCTAAGCTACTCTCCTTTGCCAGATTTTGCAAGACTTTCTTGACCCTTGCAATCTGTTTCTGCCTGTGCCAGCCAAGGTTCGGATGTTGGTGTGGCAACGACGAGGGTCACATCAATCTTGTGAAGGCGTGTGTGCCAGTACGAGAAGCTTCTAGCTTGAGCGATTGAGAATTGAGAGCATGCAGTTCGAAAGCAGTGCAGGAACGAATCACGGAGGGCATAGACGATGACAAACTTCTGTGAGCTTCCATCGTAAAGATTCTGTGTGTCCGCGCTGGCCTCCGCGGCAGCTTCGTACCAGAAGTCGGAAAATGCAGCCCAGCTAACGTCGAACGCCTCGCAAAGCACAGAAGGTTGGCAGGCAGCAGGCTCGCGCTGTTTGCCACAACACAAGGCCTCCAAGCTCTCGGCCAGGGATGCCCATTGAAAGTCCTGTCGGGTGCTGGGTCGCAGTAGTTTCACGCAACCTCGAGCACCCTGCTGGTTCATCGATCGGGAACAAGCGCAGGTTCTGAAGATCAACCCTCCAAGACATTCTTGCCTCAAGGTCTTCAAAGCTGTCTGCCTGGCCATCTTACGGTACAAGCAGCCGCGATCCAGATTTTGGGCTGTGCAAAAGCACCTGTGACGACAACCTTTTCAACTAGCGAAGGCAGCTTCACGAATGCATGCTGGCGGCCATCTGTTTTGCAGCTCGCAACACCCAGATTCTCGGATCATCCGCTTGCCTCGAGACCTCATATTTAGCACGCTTCGCTGCACTGACTTTAACTTGAAGTCAAGCAAAACTGCACCTGGACGGGCCAAGCCATGATGAGACGAACCACGGCGCTTGCCCAGGATTCTTGATCTTACAATCCTGTTGCCTGTCAACCTGTATTCACTGGACCTTCATGCTTCCAGTGGCCGCTGTAACATGATGTGGCTCGCTGATAGTACAACATGTAGCGCCTGCGGTGCAGCTTTGCACAGCCAGGCCAGGCACAATGTGCTCACAGCTACACGGTGGCCGTGCCCGACACCGCAGTAGGATTGGTTCTGACATGCTGTCCGGCCCGTTGCCATTCACTCCTCATCTTTATACGACTTGCCCAATCCGACCCCGACTACGCGCAGTTACCCGGCTACCCCTATGCGAACTCAACATGGTCTACATACTGCGAGGCTTGGAAATCCTCGAATGACGATGGTGCTGCATCATGTCATGCGCTCTCGAGCAGTAACGGTTTTGTGCAGCTGCAACAAGCAGGAGTTGGTTCAACTTGCTAAATGAAACCAAGCCTTTCTGTATGCATGAACGATTTGCATACTGCCAATGACAGAACCAGTCCGAACGAATCGTAGGACATAATCTTGCACGCACTACAGCAGGCTGACCAAGAAGTCTCACTTGACTCTATCCAGGCACTCCCACATCATGATGCTGTTTCCTGAGCCGGCTGGATCGCTAGTGACACAGACCAACCAACATGCTATTTCTATCTGGTGGTTCGGAGATCTGTCTGGTGCCCGATACCTAGAAACGAATCTCCGGGCATGCCACACCACAACAAACTACCAGACACACAAAGATTCCGCGAATCACCACCATGCCAATCTCGTTCTTCTCCGTGGGCGAGACGATTTCGACTGTGTTGTCCAGCACAATGTTCATGAACTGGTCATATCCTCTGCGTGGCTACGCGGAACACAGCATAAGTTTTTTCAATGAAGAAGAGGCCTCTCAGCACGCCCACCACGTGTCTGTTAGCCGTAAGCTTGAGATCCTTGGCTTCGAGAAGACATGATGCTAATCGCACTCTATCCGTCGTGTCTCGTGGTAGGTACCGAGAGGTAAGGATCCCTGCCCAGTCCAGGAGAATATGCGCGAGTACGACTCGCTCTTAGAGATTGGCTAAATCTCTCCTGCTCCTCCTCCTCATCATGGTTCTTCATGTGGATTTTGAAACTCTGGAATACGGCCTACTCAATCGAAAAAACTTCAAGAAGTGCCAATTCTTCTGTGTGAGCTATCCAGAAGAGAATTTCCTTCACCACTTACTTGAAAAATAGCCTTGCAGGTGGTGGCATGCATTTCGTGCAACCACGAGCAATTGCGTCGGTCAAGCTGAGCATTGGGCCAACCTCTTCTCCATGAACTTTCGTAGATCTGCTCCCGATCCAGTCTCGCAGGTTTCTGCTACAAATCTGCAAGAACAAGACATGCTCTTTGCCTCATCGCGACAGTGATGGATTCGAGCACACAGGTAGGTTAGGCGAGTTCAGTCCATACTTCGTTGAAGGACCCTGGAACTCCTCAACGGCGCGTGCCGAAGTCTCGGCCACGTTAGCTGACCCATAGATTCGTATCTCTCGGGACTATAGCAGAAAGTGCTTGGTTAATTTGCAGACATGCCGGAACAGCTGATCTGCCAATGCCAGCAACGAGAGGTTTCCACCGGTTCACCCTAGTCCGGCACGCATAGGACAAGAACGATTGCTATGCGGGAGGCGGTCAACATGGTCAAAACTCCTGGACGAGTGCTACGGACTTCCGATCTTGGTAGACTGACACAAGCCACTGAGTTGAGAGATTCGACGTGTTCGTTGTAGAGGCATCGCTACCATACGCGGCCCGTCATCTCAAGCTCGCTGCGGTGGCGAAGGTGTGCCTTGGACATCTTCCGGTAGCACTGAAGGTGCGCCTTCAAGTTGGCATCGTGCGAGCTCGTTCACTACGTTCACTGGACTCATGTCCCCGGCCTGTGTCCGGTGACTGTGTCGCTTCCCGAAGGTGCTGGCAAATCTCGAGCCGAAACGGCCTGTCACAGAACCGGCCCATCCTCCTCGTTCCCATGCGCAGTCTCTCAACTCCGAGGGCTCACAAACTCTTTTGCAGGGATCTAGCAGAAGTACTTGCTGCGCACACTTGGGCAACCCGAAACCATTTTTGTTGCTTTGCGCCAGGGTGCTGCTATCAGCAGCTTTCCAGCCATGATATGAGGCCCATCCTATCCCGTCTTGTGTAATGGTATCAATCTGGCGCCCATGAGTCTCGGTCTTGCAAGTCCAGGGTGTGACATTAGGATGGGCCTCCAGTCAACGTAGACTCTCGATATTGCATTGTTTTGCTGACCCGGCCTAGTGGACGCTCTGCTGTTGATGCTATCCGCGCTGAATATGTGAATGCACTCATGGCGGCGAATACTTTGGGACGAGAGCTGCGCCGCGCTCTCACTTGACCCGGTCCAGGCACTCCCACATCATGATGCTGTTTCCTTAAGACACGATTTTGCAAGCTGTGGGCTCAGCTGGGCTACAAAACCTAAATTGCCGCCATGCGTCCACGAATCACCACCATTCCAATCTCGTTCTTCTCGGTTGGAGAAACAATCTCGACTGTGTTGTCCAGAACAATGTTCATGAACTGGTCATAACCTTCCAAACATGCCATGCTGAGGCAAATCAACACGTTGTAGCATGGGTGGCATTTGCTGATGCAGCACTGCATGGCATTGTTGGGAGCACCAGACCAAGCAGATGCAGATTCTTTTAGGATTGGTGATGGCATACGGTTTAGGGTTTACAGCCCACAAGACTTCGACGGCGTACCTCGCAAAACTCCCACCACATGCCTGTTGGCGGTCAGCTTCAGATCCTGGGCATCGAAGTTCTTTCATGAGTCGTTGACGAGCATGGGCAATTCTGCACTGCGCACGGAAGCACGTGTCTTTGCATCATCTAGACTGCATGGGGTCAGCAAGGTTCTCGTGCATCTGGACGTTCTAGCGTCTAGAACCTAGACGAGGACTGCAGTGCTGCAGACCCTTGCAAACTGAGCTTCTAAACATTCGGTAGATGTACAGTTCCTTTGGACACACTGTGCACTGTGCGCAGCCCGTGCCAGGCTGGCAATTCACGCCCGCGTGCAAGACGCACGTTCCAAGGCGTATATGGTGCTGAAATACTCAAGATCTGAGTCAAGAACTGCTGGCATTTGCGACGATTGGCACGGGCTGTCGACTGTCTTTGTGAATCGAAAAACTGCTGATTGAAACAGTCTCAGGCTTGAACAGCCTATGTTGCCACCAAATGGATCTTGTCTCTGAGCATTGCACAGAGCCTGACAACGTCGTGAGATCCATTCACTCTTTTGTCGGAGTGTTCTGGAAGCTGTTGGATGAAACGTGCTGCAGCCCTCACAACAGTTCGCCGATCCAGATTCATGCTCCCCAAACGGTTTCAATCACGTTGTGACCTAAAGGTGTGCCACAGAACTGGCAGAAGCGATGGTCCATCTGCGCTTCCGCACCACAATTTGGGCAGAAGCGTTTCTCCTGCTGTGCTTCCTTCTCGGCTCCCTTGGGGCCTGGCATGCCCACGTAGAACCCTTGGTCTGACTTTTGCGGCTCAGGGCCTTCCTTTTTGCCGAGCTGCCGTGCAGCCATATCGATTAGGCTACCCTGGTTCCGCCGTCCACCCCGCTTGCGCTCGGGCTTTGACTTGGGCATCGATGATTCGCGAAGGAAAACCGGCCTGGTCTCGGCGGGCCCGCGGTTGACTCTGGCGGTCGAGTAGTGGGAATAGTTGGCCTCGAAACCTTGAAGTGCAGCTGGCACCACTGACACGAGCTTTTCGGAGTTGAACTTCCCCATCTTCTGACCCTCGTAGGTAGTTCTTGCCATCCATGCGAAGTCTGGTGAAACAAAGTTGATGAAGGCATAGCCACGGTTTGCATGCGTCTCTGGGTCGATTGGAAGATACATGAAGTCATAAGCTCCGGCAAAGCCTGCCTGATTGAGCTCCTCTAAAAGCATCTGCTGGCTGTACTTGTTTGGCAGATTGCGCAACATGACAGTTGTCACACTCTGCCAGTCAGATGGGATTTGACCACTCGGAGGCATTCTTGGTGGCACTGGGCTGCCGGTGTCTGTCATCTTCATGTCCTTCATGGCTCTTCCTTTGCCGCCCATTGCCATGCCAGACCTGTCCGGCGACCTTGGCACCAGGAGAACGGGAGTGGGTTTTGGGAGAGACAGCAAGGAAGCGGCGCCGGATCAAGCACAAAAACGAGCTGTTGCGGCTGGGGTGCACAGCCTGCTGTTGACCGTTGTATCCGTTGTCGAGGCTGCCAGTTGCGTAAACCTGCGCCGGAGCTAACGTCTGGCACATCTGAGAGCTGCACACACGGCTGTGTGCCGGCCCTAAGGCTGCGGGCCCCTCTTCGTCGGTTCGTCGTATCATGGTCTCAAGCTTCCGTGCCTACATCGCTCAGCTGCACATCACTGGCCTCGGGCATTTGCATCCCCATCTGCGCCAGCGGGGCCTCTTTTCCAACTCCTACCTTGGTCAGGCAGTGCCTGTGAGGCTGTGAAGGGTCGCCTGGATCTGACCGCCTGCCGGAGCATATGCCGAGATGCAACGGTGTACTGGAGAGGCAGGCCCTGTGGCATGCCAACGCCACTGCATCCATCCATCATGCCAGGCATGCCGGCGGGCATCACCATACTGCCCACGAAGGGAGCAGTTGTTGCCTTCAGTCAAGCCCGGCGGATCTTGGGTAGTCATGGGGAGCCAAAGCGGCAACCCTATGCACGCTTCAAACGATGTCTTGAGCGCGGGCCATGCGAGCTTGAGTGCGTAGAAACAGTGGGCAGATTGAGCTCTTACGGATCACCTGTCCAATCTGCCCAGTGGCCATCATGTCCGGCATCGACCCAGGAGGAAGGAAGTATTGCCCACCCGGCCACATTGACATTTGACCTCAGCGGTGCGGCCACAGAGGAAGACACTTTGGACAGCTGCTGCTCCCAAATGTCAGCGTCAAGGTAGTTTAGGACATCTAACTCACCGTGCTCCAAGGTTCGGAAACATCAAACGATTCTTGCCATAGTTTACCAGAACTGCGGTGCTGACCATTCTGGATATAGTTCCAGAATAAGTTGAAGTCTCTTTCGGATTCTGTGTCTAAGCCAACTTGACAGCTGACTGTGCTGCACAGACACACACAGAGTCCGCACACACTCGTGCTTTGTGCCATGCATATGCCAGCAAGCAGCCGCCCGCAGCAGGATTCGGTGGGTTGGAGGTGTCTTCATCTCCCGTAAGAACTCGCGGTTGCGATGGGAGAGTAGAAGGCAGGCCCTGACGGAAATCGTGCGGAAGCATCCAGCAGCAGGAGCATGAATCCCGAAATTGCATAAGCTCGCTGGTGTCTTCCTACTAATACTAGCAGGAACAATCTCCTGAATGGATGGGCCTGCTCGCCAGTTGGGTAGCCTCCGATCTGCGCTTGCGCCAGGGCCTGTACCTGCTGAGCCTTTTGGATTTGCTGCTGGGCCTGTTGGATTTGCTGCGCTTGCTGCTGAACCTGCTGGATCTGCTGCGCCTGTTCTTGCAGGACAGTCATTTGCCGTGCAAGCGCTGATGCCGGCTCCGAGAGCTGTCTCCGAGCAAGATGAGAAAACTCCATCTCCATGTCATCGAGAGAATCGAAGTCCAAAAACGTATTCTTCACCTGCAAATTTGCAGCCACAGCTGCAAGTGCGTTGGAGTCCACCATGATCACTCTCCTTTTGCTCGCACACTAATGGAGCTGCTACCTGGATCTGCAGATGGCAAAAATGCGGTGTCGATCTGCATCATGAAAGCTGCAGGCATCGTCAATCCAAACAAACAAGTGCATAAATGCGATAGACTGCTTCCCTCAGATACTGTTGCGGATTCTGCAACAAAAATCTTCACAGTCGCTTGCCGAGCTCGTCACCAAGCGCTTCTCCATAAATTTCCGCAGGTCAGCACCGGAGCCGGTCTGGTGAAGGCAGGACATCCGTCTGCGGATCTTAGTTACTTGCTCCTTGCAAGGCAATTGGCTTAGATTCCTTTGTGTCTCATGGTGAATACCGGCGACACTGGGCGGCGGCCTTTGACATCTTCCGGAACCTGGTCTTCTTCGCCTTGCGCAAAGCACAATGGCATGGCTACACAACCCGTCATCACTGAACAGCGTCAGACACAACAGATTCTGCACAGAAATTGGAGAACTGCAATCCATCTGACCCCGCCTTGTCCTGTCGTCTACTGTCTGGCGCAGCTTGAGCAAACAAAGGCGGCGGGGCGGCAAGTCTTCGCAACAGCCCTTATCTGCTACCGCCACCAGGGTGGCAACCGATTCATGCATGACAGCCATGGATCCTGCCATGCTGGCAAACTGCTTCTCGTAACAACGAACTCGTCAGACTATATTCGTGAAAGTATCTTCGCAAGCTTCGAAGGCTGTGCGGTGCACGTAGTATTTCCCTGACGGTGCGTGCCCCGTGCCTCAGACTCATCCGTTTGCCGCTTTTGGACCGACCGAACATCGATCCGCCGATGCTTTCTCTTGGTCTCTTCACCCTGCGCAATCGAGCATTAAGTTCCGACATCTGTAGACCACACTCTTCTCATTCAATCTCTACCCCGATGCGCACGCAAAAATCCAGGGACGTCAGCAAACCACTAGGCGAGGTACACACATCCTCGCTTAGCCACAGCCCGCCTCCGGCACAATGTCCCCCACAAGAAGCGCCTGGCATCGCGACGGGGATCATCCAATCAATTCCAGATTCCCGAAGCTTCAACAAAATTGCAAGTCCTTGAGCATTCCTGGACAAATCGTTGGTATGATAGCACAGTCTCACAGAACCTTTCACTCACCTTGAAGCGTGGCAAGGGCACTGCTTTGAGCACTTCTTGCATGCCGTTACCTCACAAAGCATTGACAGCGTACAAACGAATGCATCGAAAGTAGTATCGGTTAGGAGTATCACCACCGTAGAGTTAGGCGAGGATCTAGCGGCAAACTTCTGGATGATGTTGGAGTTCAACATGCCTGGTCCCACCTGGGCGAGCGTATTGTGAGTTTCAGTACCTTCGCCGTGCTTTTGAGCGAAAGTTCATGTTGGAGTCCAGACATGTCTGCCGTGGTTGTCGTGCCCTGTCGGTGCTTGGACACGGGGGAACGGATCAAAGCTGTCAGCACTGAGGATGAACTGTCGCAAGTCGAACCAAATTTCAGCTCTTGGTCAAGCGCCGGTGTGGTAAAGCAGTTGAGTTCCTACAATCAAGGTCCTTGCAGCACCTCGGAGGCTGAATGGAGCTCTGCAGACAGCACAAAAGAAGTGTCCGAATCGTGGAGCTCAGCGCACATGTATGCCGAGCTCCGACAAGCCTCGCTTACATTTTCTTGCAAGAAAGCTCTGTAGAACTTCTTGCGTTTGAGCAATGTACTCAAAAATGCACAAGCTGTTGGTACCCTCACGAGGCACCACTAGCTATATAGATACATGACTTTGTGGAAGGAGGCAAACCTTCCTCTCAGTGGCCTGGCATGCAAACCTTCGAGGCCACAGGTGGAACGAGCTTAAAGTCATCTCATCGGACGCGCATGTGCGGCACGTTCCGTCTGTACATCCCGTGGCCAAGGTGGGGTGAATTCCAGGCATCCTTGTTGAATCACCATGCAGAACGAATTCTGTCCAGCCTTGGATCGTCTCTTCATGGGTGCTTGGTTGCGACAAGCCAGATTATTCTCCGCTTAGCCCATACCCCTTTGTTACACAGACTGCTTGACTGCACTGGCTGCGCGGCTTCGGCTAACACAGCTTGAATGGATGTGGGCACCGCCGTGTTCGTGGTCTTTTTCGTCTTTTCACTCTTATTTGGGATCGTTCACGAGATTGGAGGGTGGCCGTCCACGTTCAACTCGGCCCACTGCGATACATTTTAGAGTGCGTCCGGCGACACTCCCAACAACGTCCATGCCAGAGTGTGTCCCGGCGAGAAAGCATCCCTGATAACGAGCTTGTCCCACTAGGAAGCATGCATGCCCCTACTAACTCAGTAGCCATGCACCCATAACACTTCCATCTTCATGCGCATCCCAGTCAGGGGAGAATGCATCCAGGCCCGAGTGAAAAGAAAAACAAGCTCTTCCGACTGGAAGCAGCGACGGAGTTTTGATACCAATGAGACTTATTGTTTTCCAGAACCTTTGTGTTCGGATGGATTTTTCGTTAAACATCGTAAGATTGCAGGGTTTCCAAAGTGCCGCAGGTTGCAACACTCTTGCATCTTCGAATCTGTTGGGGTATCTTACACTTGCAACAGTTTCTGCTAAATGTTTGATGTCTGTACTGCTATGAATACACGGCCGTTTTTGGGCGCTTCCAGGTCCGTACGACACCATGTGCCCGTAACCAAATATTGCATGACGAGTCCAGAATGTTCACCGCTGCATGGGAAGCCAAGCTGCGGCCTCCGTCAGCGCGCGGGGACAGTTGCTGGAGTGCTTCGAGGCACATTCACCGCAAGCAGCTCCCGCGCACGTGGGCGACAGTCCTGAGCATGGCGATTTTTGTCGTTGATCGATGGTCATTCGTGTTGTTCTAGCAGAAGAGCTTGGAAGCTTCCGCTGGAAGCTTCTGAGGACATTCACCAGGGCCCGAGACTAGCGCATTCGAGCCAGTACTAGTAGAAAGAATCCACCGGCCTGACATGCTTGTCTGTCCAACATTTGCGAGCAAGACGCCTGGTATTTTGCTGGAGTCTGCAGGAGCCTGATCAGCAAGAACAAACGCGTGCTGATCTTTGCACAGGTTTTCCTTCTGCAAAACTCTCCTCTCTGAGCTCTCTCGGCGTCGTTCACCACAAAGATCCAGCGTGCAACATGCCGCTGTGAATGAGGTGTTGTTTGGAGGAGTGATTGCACTCAGCATCTCCCTTCTGTGCCATCGAGATGCGGTAGCAGGCCATCAACTGTCAGCATTTGTTGCTGTCCAGCGACTTCCTGCAACATGGCTGGGCTGTCTCCAAGACTCTCCACAACTATCCTGTCTGTTCCAGCTTTGTGTGTAAGTGTGGCTATGTGCGGCTTGTATGTTGTAGAAAAAGCTTCGCCTCGCCTCGGGCACACGCAGCTTCACGGGCAGCCCTGCGCGCTTCGCCCGGGCAAGGATCTCATGCCTCGACCCGGCATTTGGACGCCTGTGCCAGGCTTCCAAAGGGCAAAGTCAGCAGCGGTCAAATTCTCTGAGACTAGAGGTCGACTTAGATACTAGTGTGGCGATTGCACGCGATCGCAAGTCTGCTCCGCACCTTCCAGTGCGAGTCGCATCTGAGCCTTCGCTTGGAGCGGGCAGGCCTACCGGGCAGCAGAAAGCCACGGACATTCATGTAAAGACTGTACAGAATCATTCCACTTTCCCCTAGAAAGGCTGGTGGCACGGCCATCCCCTCGTGCTTGGTCTGTGTAACTGCCTGGAGGGGCTCGCAGAAGTCCAGTTGTGGGCGCAGAGGTGGAAAGGAGCGGTTGTCCTGTCTCTAGACCCCAGACTCCGGCCCACATCTGACCGTGCTTGCCAGGCTCCTTCACGTCCTTCTCCAGCGACTTGTCTCTGCGTTCCTGGCTCATCGGCGGATCAAGGCTTTAGAACACTCTTCACTTCAAACTCAACGGCGTCGGGACCTTCTCCTGGCTGCCAGGATGGTGGCGCCGAGGGCGAGGCACAAGCCTTATTCTGATTCCACCGAGCAAGCTTGTGGGTCCGTCTGCAGAGTGCCTCTGATGGCAGGAGCGGCCACTGGGCTGGTGGGGGTGGAGGACGCCTGCCAGCGTGAGAAAATGCTCAACATTTCTTGCTTTTGAGTTTCGCTCAGCTAGACCTTTCTGTCTGCGTGCAATCTGAAGCCAAGCACTTGCAAGATGTCCTGCAGTGCCAGTGTCCTGCCTGACCCCTTCAGGTCGCATCCAGGTTCAGCTGGCTTGTGCACCACTTCACATCACTGAGCTAAACGCTAGCCTGGCCTCCTGCAAGCTGTAGGTCGCAAGGCGACCTGGGTTTTGGTCTGAAGGGAGCAGACTTGTGTGATGGTACAACATTGGCAGAGCTAATCTGGTGCCTCCACCTCAGAGCCGCTGGAGCAATTTGTCTCTACATCCGCCTCCTGTCAGATGGAGACTATATGCAAGCATACCAAGCCGCACTTTTCTCTCCGACCTGCCTCGTGTAGCTTCGGTTTTCGTACTTCTTTGAAGTTGCCTACCGGCGTTGACCTCAGGTTTGTTCTGGGCATTCTCTGGGCACGACACTGCTGTTCGCGGCCCAAGCCCCTGCACGAGATGCTTCCCGACTGCGTCATGAAGACTGGGAGCCCGGCGCGAGCAGGCTGGGCAGGAGTGTCTGCTTCATCATCTCTGCTGTGCAACACTTGTCGGTAAGGATGCTTCGGCTTGAGACTTGCTTTGCTGCGGCACACGGTGTCAGGATGCTACATAATTTGAGACTCGGCAGGAAGGGTTACACATGTCTGTACTCTTGTGTTAGATCATCTGCTTTTTGCAAGCATCTTTCTTGCAATGCTCCTGCAAAACACCGTACCACAGGCACACTCACCCCTCAAAACTGCTGAGAGAGGGTCATGGGGGGCTTTCTCTTGCTCGGATTTGTACTACTACTAGCCACTCTTTGCCCTCCCACCAGCAAACGGACTGAGGCAGGCCCCTCTCTTTCTCGCTCTCTCCGTTATAGTGGGCTTGATTGCGAGGTCCGAACTGCAAGAAACCAAACAGAACTGCCACACGGATCAAGGTCTGCACAGACACCACCGGGTTGTAGCCGTGTCTGGCCAACCTGCAGCATTCTCACTTGAGGATCGTTGGCCATCCGGCTACCTGGCTAACATGAGCTGAAACCCGAGGGCATTGAAGGGGCTGGGCAGAGCCCAACACCGACACCCTCATCGTCGTGGCGGGGCAGGGTTCTTAGACAGAGACACCCCGACATGTCAATCTAATTTAAGAACCATCTGATACATAATATGCATCGAGAGAGACATGGTCAGACCCAAGCGAACTCAGCTTGCGCCCCGTTCGCCTGATTGCCAGGTTGGGGCCATCTCCCAGGACCAAGGCGCCAAAGCCCTGACCACGCTCGCAGCCAACAGAATATAACGCTAACGCTAAGGCTTAAGTATGCGCACTGGCTTTCGTGCGAAGCGTTGGAATGCCGCACTCCAGCGGAAAGATTTCTGAGAACATGCCTTCTCGGCTTCGGGAAGCTGCAAGGTCCAGGCTCCTTCGGCACCGAGGGCACCGAGGCGGCGCCGAGAAGTGGCTGCGTGCAGGCCGCAACTGGGCGTCAAGCGCCATCAGTGGGGACTTCGACGAAAGCTTGGATCCGTGGGGGGTCGCCTGGGCGTCGGGCCTGCAAGTTGGCGGCCGGCCAGGCTGCAGCTTCTGGCGCGATCGACGAGGAAGCGAAATCTCAGATCGTCTGCTGGGGCTTCTGATGGTCGATCTCTACGCTGGCCGGAACATGGGGAGACTGCTTCCATGAGATAACATCAGGGCGTGCAGCATTCATGGCTAGACTCGGACGTTTCGCATCTTTCCCGGTGCTCAAACTCCGGGCCTGGCCCGAGGGATTGAAATCAGACTTGCAAAGCTGCTGAGGTCGGCGTTTGATTTTCAGCACTGTCCAAGGGCCTAGTTCGCCCAGCTCTGTTCCCGCTCTTTACCCATCTTTGCCATATGGGTTGCTGCCAAACGACCCAAACAGCGTCGTCATCATGGTGTGCCTCCGGAAATGATGGCACATGCTGACTCTCCACAGGTCCATGTGCTGCTGAAGGACTTGGACAACACATAGTCCGATGACCCGCACACCCTCATGGCATCATGGCGTGTCGCGTGCTGAGACTTCCCTAGGCGCGAATATCCCGCAGCGTCTTTCTTTAAAACCGTCGACCGAACCACTGCTTTGGTTTCCAAAAGCGTTATCAAACAAATTTGCCAGAAACTGCGAAAGTTTGTGAAGCAAACACGTGAACAGGTCTAGCTTTGGTGGCGGTGCACGGGTTCAGTCATATGAGCGAATACGCGACTTTCCTGAAAGAAGGCGCGACATCAGCATGGGTCACATGATTACTTGTCTGCAATTTCGGATCGGCTTCATTGAAATTGATTGAAATTGCATATCTTGTGACATGCCGAGCAACTCTGCATGCTTCATCATGCTTCTACGGTCTTGAGTGGTGTCTTCGCGTACGTGTTCAACCTGTTTCGCATGTCCAGCCGCAAAGGCGTTTGACAGCTCGGCAACTGAGCGAAATTCTGGTTTCAAAGAGGCTGAAGCCATCAGAATCGGACCGATCTAATGCCGAGCGTGGCCTCCAGCTCCAAAGGCTCGGAGCCGACGACGACGGGCGTGCGGAAGCAGAGGGCGGCCTGGCAAAGCGACACGCCTGGGACAGACCCGGAGACGCCTTTGCGGCGCAGCCTGGCGCCAGTGTTCGCGCAAGGGCTGCCCCGGAGACGTGGAGATTCGGACTGAGCCGAAAAGCTCAGCCTCAAACCAGAGCCTCAGTACAACACCCTCCGAACGACCATGCGGTCGATGTCGAGAAATGTCTATCATCCGTTGTGTTCGTGCTCTCAGCTGCAGTACGTGTAAGTCTCAAGCGCACGTAACAAAGATTGACTGTAGCGAAGATTGCCTGGTTCAACAGATCTGCAGGTTCGGCCAGTGTGCCCAACAACTCGGAATTTGGCTCGTACCCGTTCGCTGTCTTGCGAAGCGCACGGACTTGCGATGATGTGTTTCATTTCATGTAGCTCTGAACGCATGCATGCTGCTCTTAATCAGTAGACCAACCCATTTCCAAGAGTCGAGCCTCAGCCCATTCATCCAGAGCTAGCTCCAAACCATTTTGTAAGTGAAGCACTGATACAATAGTGATAGTGGGCACCTGCTGTCAACCTGCTTCAGCCACATGTTGTCCAGACTTATCGTACGGACATAAATCAAAGCAAAGCGTCGCAACGCCGTGTGCTTCGCCAGGCATCCTCAGAAGCAAGGAAGCACATAGCATGCTGCTGGGCTGCTGCGGTTCTACCGGAATCTGACGGCCCCAGCATGTCACTGATGCTAATCATACCTTTAGGAAACCGACGGAGCCCGAAACACCTCTGTAATGCTGATTCTTGATTTGACACCACCTAGATCTAGACCTAGACCTAGACTCAGGGTCAACAGCCTCTAGTCGATTTCATGCGAGCGACAGCGGCACGTGCAGTGCCACACGCCGGCCACACGAAGGCAGCGCGGTGACCGCAGCAAAGTCGAAGTCAAAGACCTCGTCGTCGCACCGACGACCATAGGCTGCAAGCAGTCGTTTGCAAGACAGAGCTGTAGGTTTTTCCATTCTCCCAAACCCGAGGAGCCAAGGCCCCTGAGGGTAGACTGCAAGTTCACGTCATTCCAGACCGTTTAAGACTCGGCAGCTCTTCTTGAAGTCTCTGTCAGCAATTTATCAATCTCGCTCATGGATCACTGCAAATTCGATCGGGATGATCATCGCTAAGCAGGTCAAGCACAGCGCACGGTAGACAGAGCTTGCAGCGCAGATGAGGGCGGGGACGACGGGGGGTTAGCTTTGGGAATGGGTGGCAGCACAAGTTGCGCTCACATCCGAATACACCTGACAACTCGAAGATCGCTGCCTCGAACGGCTCCGAGACAAACTCTAGGAGACCTTGAGGGCAGGGACGAAGAGACAGAACACAGATCGTAGACAACAAAATGTATACTCGCAGAGGCAGCGTAGTGCTGGTGGCATCGGTATGAGTCTGGATACCACTTCGGCATGCTCTCCGTGCTTGTGCCGCTGCATACGAAAACATCGTCTTCGATCCCGCCAAGCAAGCAGCTGTCACATTTTCGCCATGCCTGCAACCTAGCTGCCCCTAACCTCAACAGAAGTGCTCTGTGGCTGCGAACCACAGATGCTACCTAATCCTACGCTGCTGTTCGTTCTGCTGCCCTACATCGTGATGCCACGTGGGACCACAGCAGTCGTGCGCGTCTTGCAGCGACTTGCACCGACGCGACCCTCAGTCATGCTCGACCTTCTGTACATCAGTGGGGAACCCGTCCCGCTGCTGCGCCACGATTCCTGCCAGAGTCAACGGGCAGGTGCACCGTAAGCGGTGCAGTTGACGAGACGAGTCAAGCAAGTCTCCTGAAACTTAAACCCAAAACTCTTTACCCCAAACTGTACAGCCGTTAGAATTCGGCTTGGAACCTTCACGTCTCGCCCAACCCTGCTCATCTGATGGCTTGACAGACGCAGTGGCCCTCCTGGCCTGGCCAGAGGAAGTAGCCCCTGGGATGCATGGTGTGATCTGCATGTCCCGGCTTCGGAGGCTTCAAGCCTCGCGAAGGAATCTCTCAATAGCATCACGAAAGCAAAACTTCCGGACACGTCGTGATAAACTGCGGGTATTGAAAGCTGGTCCTGGCCTTCACGCAGAGACTCGTCATTCATGTGGGTGTCGATCTGCCAGTAAAGCGGCACGCTTACCTTGACCCGCAAGAAGAGACAAACAGCAACGCGGTGACAAGGAACGTCGATACAAGTTGGGTGCCGCATCCTGCCAACTGAGACTCTGACTTCCAAGCATGCCTTGGCCCCGGCGTCATTGATGACATACGCTGTAGTCTCCTGAGCATCCGTGCAGATGTCGAGCTTCTAACTCGTGCGTCCCAGGTATCCAAATGGTCTCAAGCAGCTCTTCGTTCGGTGCGCAGCGTGCTGTGCATTGTCATTTCCCTGCAGCACGCCATATGGAAAGTATCAAGTGCTTTAGCTCATCCAGAGCACCGAGTCACTAGCAGTCTTCGGAATAGATGCCTGCAAGTTTATGGCTCTTTTGAGTCCAGGCTCGCGAAAGCCTTTGTAAAGCCGCCGCACACCTTTGCCCACCTCGTACAGGTGCTGCCTGCCAGGCTGGGGCACGAAGATGAATGCATGGCTCTGTGCAAATGCAAAATCTGACTGACAGCTTCTTCAAGGCCTGCGCAGAAGATCCTGGCCACCGAGATAAACGATCTCCCAATCCTTCGAGTTTCTCTACAGCCAGCGGCACAGTCAACCGCTGTCAAGAGCACGCCTGCGGCACGTGCGAAAGGCGCTCAAGGAGCACTTCCTCTGAGAAGCCCTGCGCAAACTCGCAGTCATCCTGGCAACAGTCTTCGCTTTGCACCGTGCACACCGCACTATACCGCAATGCGAGCAACTACAAAGACCGTCCTCAATAACCAGGAAGGGTGCTTGCGGATCCACGCCATCTGCAAGGGCATGATTTCCCGGAGCTTCAAGCCGGTCCCTTCTAAACCCGAACACTGTACCAGCAGGTGCGCAACTGACTCCACGATACTCCACGTAGCAATCCGCCTTCCGCACATTTCTGGATGATGTCGCGCCAAATCAGCCTTATAGCGAGAAACAGGTACAGTAGCAGGATTCCTTCACAGTCACACGACTGCGTCCCTTCAGTTGTACCCCATTCATGAGCCTTCCACCTTAAGAATGAATGCACCTTACTTAATATGCTCCGAGAGCACTTTGCCTAGCTCCTTGCCAAGAGGCATGTGTGACAACGCACAACCAATGCCACCTGCGGTGAGATCCGTGCCAAAGAGCTTCCTCGGGTTCAGCTTTGCAACTAGACTGCCGTTCACACGAAACAGATCTATTTCAGAGGGATCGCCCACCCTTCAAATTCACAAGCTTTCCGTCTGTATCAGGATAGGCGAGCTTTCCGGAGAAACTCGCTGCTGCTCTTCCCGGATACGTCTCTCCTTCTTGCTCCATCTGTGCGGTTTAAAACTGATGACCACTTCCCGTCACGGCTCCTTGTTCAGGTGGCAATCCGGACTGTTGATATTCCGATTCTGCAACTAGAGACTTGTCCGCACATGGTCCCCATGACTATCTGACTCATGATATCTTCCGGCATTGGCAAGCTATACTGCTGAAGCTTAAAGTACCAGCATTCGGATAACGCTTGCGACTGTCTGCTTTTGCCCAAGGTTGTGATCGTTGCTGTAGTCCATGCTTCAGCATAGGTTGTCCTTGTTGGCTGTGCTCAGCCAGACCTTCCCAATCTTTCCTGGCTCAATTGAGGACAATGTGTTGCCGACGTAAAAATCTGGGGTGTGCTTTAAACCCTTTGAAAATTATTTGTGAATAGGTTCCCTTTATAAGGAAGTAAGGGAAATTAAAAGAAGCCGGAGGATCGGCTGTGCTAGTGACCGAAGCTGCGAGTTGCAAATCACGGGCTGGCATTGTAGCAAGCGGTATTCCGACAAAGCTCTGCTCGTCTGGCAGGTAGTAGCGGGGCAGTGCCTCCATTGCGATAACACCATTCCTGAGGCAGATGCTGGCAAAGGGTTGCAGTGCAGTTGGAAAGAAGCTTGGGGCTTGGGGCGTGTAGTCCTTTGCAATGCGACAACAAGCTGTTGGGATAGTTGCATCGTGGGCTCATGGCTAGATCAGGGACGTCCAGGTCACGGCCGTTCACGGCACTGAAGCCTCAGCAGACATTGAGGACATGACGCTTTCACAAAAAATGGCCTAGTTTCAACGAACTCAGGATTACAAATTCAGAGTGTCCCCTGTCAAGAGACGCTCCACGGGCATCCTCAATTTCTGGAACTGCTTCTGCATGAACTCCCAGCGCTCGGGGCGGTGGTCCAAATTCCTTAGACAAAGGAACTCGCTAACTGTGGCCAATCTAGTGGACGACTCGATTTCTCCGCCTGGCGTCACGGAACTCATGGCCAAGGCTCATGCAGTAAATGTGTGCCAGGCTCCGCCATCCAATGGCCTCGCTCGGCCGCACAGCCGTGGCAGTAGATAGCGCGGCCAGGCGACTCCTTACCGGTTGTGAAATTATGCGGCTTATGCGGCATCAGGTTTGACGACTGCAGGTGAGAACTACTGATATGTCAGTTGCTCTCCTCGCTCTTCGTGGCCGCTGCGCCAAGCTTGTCAGCCGCCGCACCGTAAAGGCACGTTTTGGGTGGTGGCCTTCGACTTTGATCGCACCCGCGCACATGGAGACACACGTCCACTGCACAGAAGCTATGGGATCTTACCCAAACATTTACTGAGGTTCGAAGTGGTTCAGCCAAGCTGCGTGCAAAGAGCGCTGCACCTCGATGACAGTCGAAGGTACGTGCTTGGCAATGCTTAATTGCATAACGTTTTCGGAATACCATAGCCGAAGAGGCGCTGTATTGAGAACAGAGATGCCCGAGAAAGATGGATGGACAGAAGGAGGTCACTTCAACAATTCGAGACGCATCACGCGGTCTGAGAGTGCTAGCCTACAACAGCGAGCCAAAGGTATGCCAATTCATAGAGATGGCCTAAAGTTCGAAGACTAAAAGCCCAAAGAGCAGGAGGATGCCAAGAGAAGCCATCGTCGATTCCGGCAGTACAGGTACAAGCAAAGTCTATGGGAGGCAAGAGCGGAGCCGAGAATCATAGTCGTAAAAGTAAGCAGGGTAGGGCCAGCGAGAAGGATGCCTGGATATGCCTGGATCTGCGAGAATAGCAGCAGGCGGCGCACCAGCACGACGAAGCTGCATTACTCACATGCAGTATCTACGCCCATTTGCTCTCGTTAATGCCGCGCGGCGCAGGCCCACTCTGTAAGGATGGAGGGTCACCGTCTTCACGACACATGGAAACAGAACAATCTTGCATCAAGCTGCCTAGGCAGCTTACCAGTGCTGCCGTCCGGCAGCTCAGCTGTGTGGCCAGCCTGCCTCAGAATGATCCAAGCCAGCCCTCGCAGCTTCATAGAACTCAGAACCAGAACTCACAAGCTGAGGACTAGTAAAGTGAATCCCGAAGCACGACGCATGGAGCCACAGGCACCACAAGCCATGCCGCACGCGCGCTGCATGTCAGCCGGACCAGGATTCGCTTTCAGCGGTGGCCGTGCCTTAAGCGGTCGCGGCACCGAGATGGCGGTTGGAGACTCAGGAATTTCTGCAGGGTGTCCAGACTCCTTCTAGCACGATAGCATGAGAGAAGACAAAGCACCCTATGTCACTGTCCGGTATGAGTCTGGTAAGATTCCAAGCAGCCGAACGCGAGGGATCGGGCCGCCCGCTTGCGGCCAACATAGCAAAATATGTGTTCTCTCAGCTGCTGTTCATGGTAGCTTGTGGTGACTAGCTCCGCTCTTCGGGTGGCTGCGCTTACATGTATTCCGCCGGTGGCCTTTAGCTGTCAGGCCACCACGTCGAGCTAGCACCTCAGAGTCTTTCTTTCTTGCACCAGGGCCTAAGCATGTTTCTCTCGCAGTCTCCCTCTCTACAGGCTGGTTGGGCTGGGTTGTCTGGCTTCACTGTGCGAATTTTGCAAGTTTCGCCTGCGAGTCCATGCTTGTGCACATGCGCACGGCCTTCTGGCCAGCTAGGGACAGCCACCATGCAAGTTCAGACAGATCACAAACGAATCGGGCAGACTAGCAAAGTGTCCGAGTCTATGATTCCGACTGCTGTACCGGCACTTTCCTCGCGCTCCCGGCCTGTTTCAAGGAATGGCCCCAGGTGCACATGTTCAGCTGCATGGAGCCCTGGACAACGGATCACATCCTGCGCAGTGCTTCTGGACATTTCTGGCCCGCAATCAGCACTCTGAGGCAGCTTTCACAGACTCTCGTCTCTCTATGTCTCTCTGGGTTTCTAGAAGGCTTGGAAAACTGCGGGAGTCAGTCAAACGTAAAGCAAGCAACGGGGCTGGGGGGGATTCCGAAGCGAGGACCCAACCTCCGGCAAGCGCACGAGGCTCGAATCTTCAAAAGCACCGCGGTGCCGCTCCTGAGCGAAGCGCGCTTAGCTCTTAAGCCTCCTGTCCCTGAGCGGCACCGCAGTCACTGCAGACTGCAGCCGTAGCCGAGAAGCCCAGAGCGCCTTCGATCGGAAGACTCGACCAAAGACTTGGGCACGACGTGGGATCAGCTCAGGGCCTGCTGAAGCGCATCAGCAAAAGAAGTAACAAGAGAGCGGCAGTGCTGAATTGCAGGTCACTTCAACACTCGATCCGGCGATCATCTCGGCAGCACCGCCTAAAGGTGCTGCAGATTACAGATCAGTTCCAAGGCCTGGATTGAAGCTTCGTGAAGTTGCAGCATGTCGCAGCGTCGGCAGCACGCCTTCGCCAATCAGAACCTGATCTTCATTGACTGGCGACTCGGTGCTGCACAAAGCTACGACACAGCATCATCCGGACTTGATCAACCGCTAAATTCGACTGCTACTAGCCAATGTAAAGCGACTTGGTGAGTTCTGCTTCAGCTGAGCATAAGTTGGCAAGGCGGCTGCATCCAGGAGTTCGGAAACGCAGAGATCAAAAGATGTGTCCTCTCACTGGCTAGCACTGGCTGCTCGTTGCCTCCGGAATCCGGCATGAGATGCCACTATGCAGGCACGTCGTGAGATTTCACATAACCCAAGCAAGAGTGTCAACAAGGCCAAGCAATGCAGCTGTTGAACCTTCGTCCCCGCACATCTTCCAAACCAAGCAAGGTTGCCACTGCACTAAGGTCATTGAGCATTGACTCGGACTCGAAAGCTTCAGAACCCGTCCTTGGCTTTCTCGCCGTGGAGAAGCTCGAAAGAGTGTCCCTCCCACACCGAGCAGCATCGCTCCTTGCTGGCGAACGTCTTCCAAGGCCATGGAAATCACAAGAGACCGGAATACCAAAAAGAAAAGGACATAAGTAGTTCCTGGATGTTCAAGTTAGTGAACGTCAAGATACAAGGATGAGAGGCATGCCTTGCTCGCAGCATTTCCTATCCAGATCCCCCACCCTGCAACACACGACCCATGTTCGCCTGCAAGTTTCTGCGCCATTTCTCCTGATGTTCTCGCGTGCCGCTTCAGCTAGCGGAGGACACGCTTCGATGAGCACCACCTGTTCGAACAGTCCTTAGTACTCGGCAGAGGGCCACGTCCGAGCTTGACTCTCCGTCACGGAGCTTTGCAAGCAGGTGCAGGAGACGAGGGCGAAAGTCCTGCTACAGCTGCTCTCGCAGCGAGGATCCACAAAGATTTAAGGACCAGGTCTGGCAGGATTTTCAACTCTGCGTGAATTCTACAGCACACGTTCTCTTGGAAAACTGCAGGAGCAACATGCAAGCCAGATCATTTCCTGCTAAAACACTACATGGCTCCGAACTGAAGGGTTTAACCTCTGCGGCAATGGCTGCTTTGAGAAGAGTGGTGGAACCCTTCATAATCTCGTCGAGGCTCCTGTTTGCCAGCAGAGCAAGCCCAGCAACCCGGAGCCACTTCCTTCCGAGGCGACGATCCAGTAGAAAGCCAAAGCAGACAGAACAGATGCATGCACAGCCGAGACGTCAAGACAAACCTGAAGCCCTTCGTCCTACTGTATCGGAAAGCAGTCCCGCGGTATGCCGTGCCAAAACGACAAGTCTTGCAGCTGCTGACATCAGCATGGTCTATCAATGGCTCCCTCAGCACTAGCACTTTCCGCTTTTAGAACTGAAAATCAGGTTCCCGACAAACCGCTCGATTCGCGGCCTAAGTCAAGAGCTCTTAGCGGTTGCGATGGCTTTGCTCGCCTGCATTGGCAGGCACAGATGCAGTGTGCTCGAAAGCTGTGGGCTTGTCTTTGCAGGCTGGCACATCTAAACTTGGGTTACAAACATGTCCGGGCTGACCTCAGCTCTTCAGCCGCGCTTCGTATAGCAGCAGCATAAGCCTCTCGCCCAAGGTGAGCCGAGGTCGGACGAGCAATAACTTTCATCAGCCAGGGCGGCTTTTAGAGAGATTTGCAAGTGCTTCTAAAGATCTGTGCAGTCGTGCCACTCGGTTGCGGTCATCATCGAAAAGCATGTCGAAATGCCCGAGGAAATCATCCAAACTCGCCATGGCTGCGAGCACTGAACTAGTATCCACGAGGCTTGTTACTTTCGTTTTCGTACTACAGTAGTACACTATAGTGCGTAACAGCTCCAATCTTCGGCCATCTGCGGCCAACATACGAGGTACTGTCAATCTGCTTCAGTGTCGCGGCATTGCCAGGCCAAAGCAAAGAGAGCCTTTCCCTTCTGCGGATCCACATCAATTCAGAGATGAAGTGAACCTACGATGCATGGCTTCTGCGCTTGTTCATTGGAAGCAGGATTGCAACTTGCTTGCGCTGCTCTCACCGACCTTTGTCTCACAACCTGCGAAATCTTCCCAGTACGAAGAGCCGTAGTCTACGACCAGCTCCGTACCTGAAGCGTGTCCCAACTTTAAGCCTCTCGTGATGCCTCTCGTGGCAAGAAGCGGCTTCCCATTTCCGTCTGCTCTGAATTCACATTGAGCACCCATGACTTTGCAGTAAGCTTCCACTCGCATAGGCCTGCAGAGACAGGACGTAGAGTGCGAAAATATGCGACTCGTCCGAGCTCGCAAATTTCGAGATTCACGTCCTGCAAGCCGCAGAATCAAAGCTTATGCATGCCAGGTCAGGCTGGCCCATGCGCAGACTGCGAAGTTGGTTGACTTATACATTTGTAAAGGTCTCGCTGTGTCGGAAACCTATATGTTGCAACCGAGTCTCGTCACACTGCTTTGCCATCCGGGCAGCGTTCACAAACCTCGCCGGATTTCCGCCTGGCACAACAGATGAAAGATGCGAAGACTACACGGAAAATACACTACGCAGAATACAGTCTTCGTCACTACGCTCTCGACGAAGACGTTGCGCTCCCCGGCTCCCCCCGCTGCTCTCTCTCAAAGCCGGCGGGCCGAGGCTCGGACGCTGCAGGCGCTGCCCGTCCACACAGAAGCTCGGAAGCCAGGGCTCTCCCTCCAGCTTCCGATCTCTGGGACACCAAACCTTTGCTTCACTTTCAATCATCAGCACATCACACGCATTGATCTATTGCACGCCATGCGTCGTAGTTGTCAACCTCTCGGGAGTACTCCACCCGATCCAGATCTGCAAAGAGTAAAGAGAGCCCCTGATACGGTGGCCTCGGCTGACAACATCTCTGCAACCGACACCCGGCATGGTGTGCCGAGTACTTTCAACCCCTCTGCCAGCTGCCGAGGCACAGCACCACCCCAGCTGCGATGTCTTCAGCGGCAAAGAGCCCTTGCTCAAAAACCGAAAGGTGATAAGAACGTTGCTCAGCCACGCGGTACGAGTAGCTACTTGAGTGTGGGTCCGAGTCATCTTGCTAAGACGATGTACTGTTTCGAACCTCGACGATCGCAAGGCCCGGTGCGATCGACACAGGCACGCTGCGCGCCGACTCGTTGTGCGTGCGTGATGGAGCCTCTACGCTACTTATCACTGTCAAGCCCGAGCCATGCACACTCAGCAGCGCCTTGCCGCAAGAACCAATCACTCCAACCCATGGCAGATGTAGCCGGCGGTCTCTTGCAGAGGTGATGCTACCAGCTTTCTTCTGCTGCTCGCACTACAATGGGTTTCTCGCCGCCATACTTGGGCAAACTGCAAGATCGCTGCTATATCGAACCGATGCTACCATATCGCTGCAACTGCGTCCTCGCTTTCGTGCCAGCTGTGACTTCGTCAGTCGCGCGATCGAGTTGCAAGAAGCTGCAGGGAAAGCCATGGCCTCGGCCGGCACCAGGCAGCGTGGAGTTGCGCACGGCCAGTTGGGCCTCCTTCCGCAACTAGTCGAACATAGGAGGGCCCAACTTGGGGTTCGGGCTCTTCTTCCATACATCTTGATGAAGTGCAGGAACACTCTCACGCTCTCTGTCTCTCTTTCTGTCCTTCCCTGTTCTGCTTGGAAGCTGCAAGGAAGCCGCCTGTGTCTCTTCTCCTATCTCTCTCAACCGCTTTCAGCCGGGTCTTTCGGGTCCAGGGGGCGCCAGGCTGGGAAGTCGCCTCTTGGCCACTTCAAGCTTGCGGAGAACAGAACTTCGCCTTGCGAGCGAGGAACAGGGCCTTCAGAAGTTCATTTTGTGTGCAAGGCCCCTGTTGTCCCGCTTGAGGGAGGGTCCCTTCCACGGTTACGGCTTTTTCCCATGATTCCTGCACCAGCACTATTTTCATGGAAAGTTCGTCCGGCAATATGCGGGCTGCTGTTCAAGTCTTCCGGCGGGTATGTTTTAGGAAATGGGGTTCCGAAATCAATATGATTGTACTGCCCGAGCCATCTGCTGCTACCGTTACTGCTACTGCAACTGCTACTGCTACTGCTTCTGCTACTGCTGCTACTCCTCCTCCTCCTCCTCCTCCTCCTCCTCCTGCTGCTGCTGCTGCTGCCACTGCCACTGCCACTGCCCCGGTTTCGGCTACTGCCACTGCCGCGGCTGCGGCTACAGCTGCTGCTGCTGCTGCTGCTGCTGCTACATTTGTTGCTTGTAATCCTGCTGCTGCTGCTGCTGCTACTACTACTACTACTACTACTACTACGCCGACGACCACTACCACTACCACTACCACTACCACTACCGCTACCACTACCGCTGCTACTGTCAGTGCCACTACCACTGCCGCTGCCACCACCACCAGCACCACCACCACCACCACCACCACCACCACCACCACCATCACCGCCACGACCACTCTTTTTACTTCTACTGCTACTACTACATCTGCTAGTACCACTACTACTACTACTACTACTACTACTACTACTACTACTGCTGCTGCTGCTACTACTACTACTACTGCTACTACTACTACTACTACTACTACTCCAGCTACTACTCCTACTCCTACTCCTACTCCTACTACTACTACTACTACTACTACTACTACTACTACTACTACTACTACTACTACTACTCCTACTGCTACTACTACTACTACTCCGACGACGACTACGACTACGACTACGACTACGACTACGACTACGACAACGACGACGACTCCGCTACCGCCACGGCTGCCCGCTACCCACTATTACGACCACGACGACGACGACATGTACTTTGGAAGGTGCCCCGGAGAAAAGCTCTTGATGATAATCAGGTCCAACGTTACATTGCACATCTGTATTCGGGCGGGCCCCTCTCATCCCTCTGCCGACCTCCTTGTTCAAGCGCTTCTTCGGCATCCAACCTTTTCTTTAACCGGTTCATTCCCCCTACTCGGTGACGGTGAACCCCTGGTTTGTACTCAAACTTTCTCGGCCAGAGGATGTGTCTATGTCGTGCCAGCGTCGGGGGACTGCACCTATGTCTTGTTTGATGCACGCTGGTTTGGGCACCGAAAGCAATAAGCTGACATCTGCCTGTTGTGCAGCCATGAAGCGGCGTTTCGTAGCCATTGGCCCGGAGCACCCGTAGGCATTCGCAAGTTGTGGGGCAGCGGCAAAAGTCTTGCAAGCAGCAGCTGCAACTGCGGTCCTGTCATCGCGCTTCGCCCTTAACTCCTAACCTTCTCATGATGCTACTAAAGCCGGTTCCTCTTTGAAGCTCCAGGCCTAGGCCTGATGACACTGTCGATTAGTCTTACGTTGGCTCTCAAAAGCTGAGGGCCGCTGCAAACCTTTGGCTTCGGCCTCAATGCGACCCGAGCTCAAGCTACTGCGGCACATGCGATCCACATCCGTGCACCTGCCTGCCAGAAAATTGCTCAGCTTGCGTTCTCGTGCCTAAAGCGAAGGTGAGTGACCCCGCCTCAGCCAATGCACCAGCGAGCAGCAGCTGGCGACGTGAGCTGCGAAGCAAGGAGCCTCGCGTCTCTTACGGCCACAACCCCAAAACCACGCATCACGAGTCGCAAGGCAGCTATTTTCTGAAACCGGCCTTCAGACGGGCACCTGCCAGTTCTGCAGCTGCCGCAGAATCTGCGCGCATGCAGAATGAACTAACGGCCCAAGGCTGGCCAAGCTATTTTTCCAAACTTCCGAACATCTGGTTGAACCTGGAAACTTTATAGAACGTAGGTAGCTCTTAGTGACTCTCTTAGTGCCCGGACCGTAATCTCAAGAAGTTACTTGCACCTACAGCCCTTGCAGCAGTTCAGGACCTCTGCAATCCAGCACAAGGTCTCGTGTCATGGATAGCGGACTCAAGATCCGAGCGTCGGAGGTCTTGACGCTTCGACAAGGCTCGGAAGCAGATCTGCACAAAAGAGCCGGAAGCGTAAGATGTACAAGACGGTTTCCTTCAACAGCTTCTTCGACTGCACACAAAGAGGCCGAAAGTTTTCCGGCAGCAGACAAAACACTTGGGGCCGAGGAGTAGCTTGGGAGCAAACTTGGAAGAAACTTGCTGGACGGTTCTCGCAGCACCCGAAACCCTAAATGCCAAACCCTACACCCTGAATTCCCAAACCCTCAGCGAAAAATGCAATCAAGAAGCGTGTGCCAGCTTGGACAAAGCCATCCCCTAAGTACGAGCGCCGCACACACTCACGCGGATCGAAACCAGTGTCTGTCGCTGCGAGTGCCGGTCTGATTTAGGTTTAAGTAAATTCAGACGACGATGCAATCTCTCAGTCACGGACAGCAGAGGAATGATCCACAGCCAGCTGACAGCCCTCAATGGTGCGTCAGGCACTTGATCATCGACCATTGCGGGTGGCCATCTCTTGCATGATACTTCTGCTACTAAGCAAGCCATAGTAGTGACACAACGGCAGCGGGCATGACGAATATACCGACGTGCAAATCTTGTGCTGCTAGGCGGATCGCGCAGACTATACATGTTGTTAATATTGGTTGCAGTACCGGTAACCAGTAGACATCAATACATCATTACCACGATTACAAGCAACGAACAATAGCAGTAGTAAACAACGAACGCTAACAGTAGTCGCGGTCGGAATCATCGTAAACGGAGTAGTTTCAGCAGCAGCAGCAGCAGCAGCAGCAGTAGTAGTAGCAGGAGTAGTAGTAGTAGTAGTAGTAGTAGTAGTAGTAGTAGTAGTAGTAGTAGTAGTAGTAGTAGTAGTAGGAGTAGGAGTAGGAGTAGGAGTAGGAGTAGGAGTAGGAGTAGGAGTCGGAGTAGGAGTAGGAGTGGGAGTGGGAGTGGGAGTAGGAGTAGTAGGAGTAGTAGTAGTAGTAGTAGTGGTGGTGCCAGTAGCATATTGCTGTCGCTGTTGTTGTTGTCGTCATCATTCTGTGGTAGAAGTAGTAATAGCAGGAGAAGAAGTACTGACAGCAGCAGCAGCAGAAGCAGCAGCAGCGGCAGCAGCAGCAGTCGTTGTCACATGGTCACATGTTGTCATAATACCGTTGTCGGTTTGCCATTGCTTCATTCTTTTCACGTCGAAACCTCTCATCGCCGAGGTTCTGCACACTTTGGCATGACTTGATCAGGCTTGCTTTGCTCGAGAGCAGCACCAGCGAGGGACATAGCACTACCAGATAAGTGCAGGCGTGGCCGTTTCTGAGCCCCTCCTGGAAAACTGCCAACACAGGGCTGGAGTGAATTGGTTATGCCTGGTTGCAGTAGGGCGGCTTTTCACCCCCCGCAGCGGGGGACGGGTTTTCTGGGAACAGGACATGTTGCGGGAGCGGCTCGGGAAGCGACAGCTGACACAAAGGCCCTGCTCGGGCTTGGCCCGCAGACTCCCACCGAAGCTGAAGCTGACGTCCAAGTGACCCCCAGAAAGAAGCCTGACTACCTCGCTTCAGCTCGCTTCAGCTTCGCCAGGTTGGCTCCAATTTTGCCATGGCAGTTCTGACGACTTCAGAGCCACAGTCGGTCTGCTTGAAGTTCATCAGCACTGGCTTAGTTTGAGGCGTCCTAGCGTCTGTGTAGTTCTGCCTTCGACTTTTGCTTGCGAGGTTTCGTACGAGGATATCGAACTTTCAGTTAGAGTCAGGCAACAGCTAGAGGCATACTTACAAAAGCTGATATCATAACCACCCAATGAGGAACAAAATTTGCGCGAAGATCACTGGGGTGGCTGGCCGCCAGCCGGTTCAGGCAGCACGTGCATCAGCATGCCGAACCTGAGTCTTGCTAGTGATGGAACCGGATGATGCAGGCATATGCAGGGTACAGATGGTTGGACGAGCTGCTTGTAGTCGCCGCGGCCATAGTCAATCATGCCGCTGAATCCGAAACCGCTGATGTCCGACACGCTGCAGCTGACCTTTCCTTTGGAAGCCCAGAGAGATTCAAACCGTGCAGTGCGGAGACGTGGAGGAAATAAAACAGCTGTCGTTGAGCAAGCAGCCGTCCGTGTCCACCAGGCCCTGGATCCGGGCATTCCTTGGGCTGGAAGGGGTGCAATTGGTCTGCACACGCTCCCACTCTGGCCTGAAGAGGTACTCGTAAGCCATCGTCAGGCCGGACTCCTGAAGTGCAGTGGAGATGCAGAGAAAAGCAAACTGCAAATCTCTCGATGCCTTTCGGCTGCAGCCTCCCGCCGAACTTCAACCGCCTCCCACCACCAGACGCCCCGACTCAAAACACTCCCCGAGGTCCTTGTCTGGATAAGACAACTTGTACTCTGTCCCGAGGCTAAGCCTCTCGGTGACTTTGCGCACCTCAGACCAAGGCCAGGCCAGACAGGCGCGCACGGCGCGCGGGGGCAAAAGTATAAGCTGCGCGCATACTGCATTTTCAGCTCGTGCATAATGCTGGCGGATCCTGGCAGAAGTCAACTTGGAGCTGACACGGGCGGCATGGCAACATTCGACACTTCTGTTGTCACTCGGGCCGGCGGGCCTCCTAGTGCTCGTGTCAAAATAGCGCTGAAGACATGCTTGCCCTCGGTGAACCGCATTCCTACCTTCAGGGCGAAGCTGCAACGGGTTTTTGACTTCTGCTTCCCTTTCGCTGCCTGGCCAACAGAGGTCACGCTGTTGACGGCAACCTAACTTCCACAGATTGCAGGTGAAGGAAAATCGATCCAGATGCTTCCAATGAAACTTGGCTTTACCGAATCTTATTCGCTCAGCGCACTGCCACGGTCAGGTCACCTCCGAGCTGTAGCTGCGGCATGATCTTCTGCACATAGGAGCCTACCGCAGACTCCGCGTTTTCTCGGCTCCTAAAGGGCATCAAAGACCTGAACGTTCGCCTCCTGCGAGCCAGTAGCCCTGCCATGCGACCTTGCCGCCGAAGGCTCGCTCGGGCCCGGAGTACTCCAGAGCACCCTCCTCGGTGCACACAAGACAAACCATAAAGGACTAAATGGCCTTTGAGGCCTTCAGAGAGGTGAGGGCTTCCACGTCGATCTCTGCTGACACTGAGCTCGCAGCATACATGTTGCGCTGCGGGTCCTAGAGGTTTAAGCAGCGATTCCGATGGCAAGCCAGACTCCAAGCAAAGGGCCCCGCGCACCTTCAAGTCTGAGCCGGAGGATCCCTTCAGCTCCCAGGAGCTGCCCAACTGGCAATGGCCAAGGGCTCGCAGGGACTGAGAGACACAGGAGTTCAGCAGAATACTTCGGGAATACTTCGGGACCTCGGGCCCGGCATTCCGGAATTCCGACATCATGGAGGCAGGAGTGCTCAAGGCTGAAGCTGCATTCTCACAAGTCGCAGGAGGAGTCACAGGCGTAGTACATGTTGCGCAAGTTTTGCTTACATCCAAGCATCACCGCACCCTGCGCGGCTGGACCTTCTGGATTAGTCGACCTGTCACGCCGCCGTCGAGTCCTTAGTACAGCCAGAAAAGCCGCGAGCAGTTGTTGCATGCCAGCCGTTATTTGGGTTGGGTTAGAGATTGTTGGTCCTGTCCCCTTCTTTGCGTTCGTATCCTTCTGTTGCTATATATTATATACCCAGACATGAATCTGCACCTGCGTTTGAATGTTGAGTCCGCAAGGATGAACGATGACAGCAGAGGTCTTGCACGGGAGCCTTGATTTATTCTAGTCGAAGCCTAACTTAGGCTTAGGCAACACACAGGGGCGGGGGTCAATTCCTAGAGCACCTGCATTGGTGCCATTGTTGCACGTTGCTGAACTGCGGCCAAACCGCCCGTCCTTGCCACCAGCATGGTTCGTCCATCCTGCAGAATTCCGGGGTTCCGCTCTGAAGCAACATGCTGCATCTTCATGTTCCTCGAGTACCATCAATTGCCAGGTTTCGTCCAGGCTGTGACTTACCACTCAACAACCTGCTTGGATTTGCAACTTGGTAAAGGTCCCCGTAGACTCTACGAGTGCTACCGTAGACTCTACGAGTGCTACCGCTCCCTCGCAACAGGAAAGGTCGTACACCGGATCCAAGTGGAAAACATCGGAAAGTAATGCATGTTGGCAGCGTGACACAACGCACGTTGAACCAGAGTGTCACACACTGCCGGCATCTGCCAACTCTCTTGTCTTGCAAACCCGTCCGGTGACTGGAAGGCGGGGCCGAACTGGTACAGGTAGCCACACCTGAGAGCATCTGCGGTGCGCTGTGCGCTCTCTACACAGTTCACCAAAGAACAAGCAGCAAGCGCCCAGACGCACCGCGGATAAGACGTCTCGCTGAGCTGAGGGCTCCCGCAAGCGGGTCCCTAAGAAAAGCGAGTGAGTGGCCTTCCGCAGGCAGAAATTCTTCGCAAAGACTGGCATCGTGATTCCGACGCGCCTGTAGGCAGTCGGTTACCTTCTTCTGGGCTTCGATGCGGAAGCCGTCCCAGTTGTCCTGGTCGAAGGCTTGAGCACACTTGGCGGTCGACTCGTATGCTAGTGACCTGCATCGAGATGTTCTGAAACTCCCGATGAATCATCTCGAATTGCACCGCAGGCTCCTGCGACGGGACAAATCACAGGGCCGTGCAGCACCAAACCCAGGCTAGACGGCCCTTTCCCAAGTTAAGTTCAGTCGGTCAAACAAAGACCTCTCTGGTAGACATACCCCACGAGGTGTTATGTGCTGAAGATCGGCCTTCTATGCTCGCACTCGCCACCCAGGTGGGAGAAATTAGTGAAGGCCAATGGAAGCGAAGAGCGCCAACCGCGCAGGGAAGAGGTCCGGACTCCAGAAGTGATAAATCGTGCGAGGCTTCAAACCCTCCAGACCGAATGCAGCGGCGTGCAATCCGACTATTGGTCCAAGTCATCGGATTCATGTTCCGCTTACAGGGGAGGCTTCGTCTATCAGGGGTCGACACTCCAACAGCAGCGAGCGATCCCATGTCTGCCTCCGGACTCGGTGCTGGAGGTTCTGCAGGCTTGGTCTCCACTGGACTGGCAGGTGCAAGAGAGTTAGCAAGCAACTCAGAGCAAGCATGACACAAGCAAGATGCAGCAGTAAGCTTAAAGCCAATAGCGAAGTGTCTCGTGCCTGGAGGGTGGCGCAGCCTCCCGTGCGGCAAAAGTTTGCAGTCGACATTTAGGTCCAAAACAGTCCGGTTCAGTGCTTGCTGCCACTGGCCACGAGCCTACGAGTGCACAAGCAAGCTGTGCCATGATCCATGATCCTACGGCACCTACGGCATCCGCCTCCTCAGCTCGGACAACTCGAGACTGCATTGGGAAGAAGGAACCTTGATGGAACTGACATGCACCAGACATGCCACCACTGCAAAGGTGGCGACACTCTGAAGGCTAGCTGCCAAAAACGCGCCCCCACCGTGTAGCTCGAGCATCCGAGCGCCTGCACTGCAATCATACAGAAGTGTGTTTCGGCACCTACCACTGGTGTTTAACTCAACGGTTAAACGCACGCGGAGGATGCAGCCGAGCCTAGTCTCCATGGCTCGCAAATCAGCCACAGGAAGAAGTCTCACTCTATCCTCCTTGAACCCAAAACGTCGGTTCCATTCATCGGGCAGTCTCTGATCAAAAGCGCAAAGAACCTGTCAGGAAAGGTCAAGCTTGCGTGAAACGCCCGAGTTGGCATAATACAAGCGCTCTCCGTGATTTTAGTGGATGGCTGCACAGAATGCTGAGCGCCAAGACCTCGTTACAAGACAAGCCACCGATGAGCGAGGGAGTTTGGGGACCCTTTCGGCACTGAAAGCTCTTCTGCGCATTTACTTAGAGGGTTTGTGGACCGCTGGCTCGTGCGATGAGGAACTCAAGCATCCGGGGGGCAAACAGTGGCATTCCGGCCACGTCGTATAGCGTCAAGCACGCTTGGAAGGCATGCTTCATGCAGCCACTCTCAGTTGCACTTACCTAACCCTGCTACCCTCTGCGAGTGAGACACAGCCGTCGCGGCCAGCTCACTCGGCCAGACGCCAAACCTACCACCTCGGCTGTTAGTCACTGCGAAGCACATCAGATGCCAGCCTAGGCCCAGCCTAGCCGTAGCCGAGATGCTTCCCCTTCTTTCCCTTGCCCTTGCCCTTGGGCCCAGGGATCGCCGGCACTGCCGCTGCCACGGCCACCGCCGCCGGGGCCTCAGCGAGTGTCTCCCTAATTTTCGTTCTCAAGCACTTCCCCACTTTGAGAGCTTGGACACGAATCAGAACCGATGCTGCAGTATCCTTGGCCGAAACACCACTGGAGCTGGCGCAGGGTTGTGCAGGACAAACCTCGGTGCAAATCCGTGCACACTGGACCGGCGACCACTCACCTTCGTGCACAACTTGCTTCATGACAGGAGGCTTTAGCCGGGCTGTCTCATCACCCGCATCAATTCTGCGTTGCCGCTCCTTTCGGCTCTCCTGGGGCAACTTACAGGGCACCTCATCGAGGAAATTTCCGCGTGGCTGGCCTCTGTCAGCTTCACCAGCGCGTCCATCGACTCAAGATCGTCGTCTAGGATCGTGGAGAACATTTTCGTGTCCTGGCATTCGAGAATTTATACTTTCCAAGATTGTAAGCTCAGACTGCTGCAGATAGAAGTTGTCTTCGCAATTCCGTCCTCGCTAATGGCCACGGTGTCCTGAAAGGACATGGCACTGAACATGGCTGCAAACTGTCGGGATTGCTGACATCGCTCTGGCCACCACCTTGGCCAGCTTGACAAGGTCTGCAATCTCGGTGACGCCAAACTGCTTCAAGTTCATCTGCTTCTTGAAGTATTTGCCTGCCAGTACGCCGAGCAGACAAACTGGCCTCAGTCTAGAATACCTGAACAGAGGCTATCTGTGAAGCTGTCAGGGTGCCTTGTCGTTTTCGGGTCGGCAAGTACATTGCATCCCAAAAACCCTTCGCCCTGTCCATTGGAGGCAAGGTGCTATAGTAAAAGCTCAAGTGAGCTTCAGGGATTGCAACACGATCAGGATCGTTGACGTCCTTGGCGTTCTCGTGCACATCTCTGATGAAACGCTCCCTGCTTGGTGCAATCAAGAAGCCTTCTTGAAGGAATCCTGAAGCAGGAAAAGCTCGTAGCGAAGCTGCAGCAGGGCCCAGTCCTGGACGCACGGGTCATGCATATACCCATACATAGGAAGGTGTACATGTGTGCATGAATGTGTGGGTAGACAGGTCCATAGATCGATAGCTATACACATAATGCCTCCATCCCTCCATCCATCCATCCATCCATCCATCCATCCATCCATGCATCGTCTATACATGCAAAGCTAAGAACATAGAAGAACAGAAACAGAAAACTTTGACAGCTATGTGCATGTTCGCGTCTGTCTAATCTATGTATCTACCATCTACCTGTCTATCTACCTATGTACCTATCTAACTATCTATGTCAGTATCTATATGTATGTCTACATAAACATATGCATGCACACAGACATGGCACCCGCCTACCTACCTACATACATACATATATGCACGTATATACATATAATTTTGTTTATCAGCATATATAATTGTGAACTCAGTATGAGCATACATATACCTGGCTGTCTGCAGATGTAATGCATGTGTGCATGGGTCCGTAGGCGTGTAGTGCTTATCCCGCTGTGCCTTTGTCGCAGGCATGATCATGTCTGGTTAAACCTCTGACTCGGAACTGCCTTTCTATCTGTGTCTCTCTGCGTGTGTATGCATTCGAAGCGAAGGTGATCTTTAGAGCGAAGCGTGTCAGTGCAAATGTGGATTTGATCGATGCCTCTGAAACTGCCCAGCTGTGCAAGACTAACATGCTAAAGCCTCCAAACACGAACGTGCCATTGAGCTCGGCCAACAAATTACACTTTGGCGAATCGGCACTTACGCTGTTGGATCCTCGGCTTCGAAGCTGCTATACCTGGGATGCACTTGAAGTGGAATGCGCTACGCGAATGCAAACTTCAATGTATTTTCCAGGTAGGTAGGTAAAGATCCGAACACAGATTCGCTTGCAGACGCCAGACGCGGAGGGTGAATATGAAGAGTGACATGCGACGCGGCATTGCCCCCTCGCCCCAGGGCCGGAGTGTTTGGGCAAGGTGCAGGGGCTCACCGCCACCGATGTCGTTGATGTCCTGGGTTGGAAATGCATGCGAACATCGCCAAGCCAAACATGCTGGTAAGTGCGATCTCACGGTCCTCCACGGCGTCGCCTGACGCACCATCCTGCAATTTTGGGATGTTCCTTCGTACTAGATCAGGGCCGACTTATGCCGTCCTTTGTATTGTGCCGCCTATCGAACTAGTTTAGGCAGTGGTTCGCGTGGCTATCAGCCCCAAGGAGTTTCGCCACTTCACGACTCACTCTTCGCACGCCTTGGCCTTCTTGGAGCCTGCCGCTCTCCAGGCCTGGCGACATGCGTCTTATCTGCGTCAGATGACGGAGAAGCGCTAATGTCTCCGCGTGCTTTGACTCTGAAGGTTTTGTTGCAGCTGTTGCAACTCGATTTCGAGGTCTGGCCTTCTGCTTTCCCTGGAGCTCCTCGCAGGTTTGGAAGCTGAAGGCAATCTATTTCACCATTTTCACTTCACCCTTCCCCACTTGCATTGCTCAATCCCGTCGGTCCGAAAAGCTCTTCTGCCACGCCGCATACTTGTCCTTGAAGTCCTGGGATGGCTGCAGGTCCTGCGCAGACGAATTGAATCGGCCGAAGCAGCGCAGCACCGTGTTGAAGCAACTCAAGCAACCATGGATAGGTTGTGCCAGCGAGCTCAGGGAAAAAAGAAACTGCATCGAGCACGTGACCTCGATGCGTGTCGTGAGCTTCGTCTCAAGCACCCACTTGCGCAGGTACTCTTTACCTCACGACGCGCTCTGCGACGGGAAGCCCTGCGACTGTGTGCACTCCGTCGCGGCAGCAAGTGTGCCTTAAACATTATTATATGGTGCTTCAGAGGAGCTCTCCGCTTCGTCTTGCCAGATGAACTTGATCTCATCGAAGCCCTCGTCCTTCTCTGGGATGGTGAAGTTCGCAAACGCCTGCTGTCGCTCGAACTCAGCTCTGCAGCGGGAAACTGATCAGTTACCAATACCACCTATCATTCATGGCATATCTGAGACAGTCTTGTCACTACTGGAAGTCTGAATTAATGCTGCCAGGCCTTGCTCAAAACGGACGGAGTCAAGTCAGGGACGGCCCCCTTCGGAAGGAAGCTCATTTTCTCCTGCCCGAAACATACGAGCAATGTCTTGTATTTTCAAGCTGAACTCGACTCAATATACTTCACTCTGAAATTGAGAGGACACTACGGTGAAAGGAGGAGGGCCCTGATCAGCATCTCACTTGCGCATGCTGGACATTGCTGGACGATGCTGTGGCGTTGGACACCCTCAGTAGAGCGACCGGCAAACGAGACCGATGCCCCAACGGGCAATCCTCCTCTTCCGTGAGTTCCACCTGACAGGCCACAAGGACGGATCCAGAAAAAACACCCGAAGGTTCCAGGCCTTTGGTGGCTCATCTCCCAAACTCAGTTCAGCAACTGTTGACACAAAAACATCCAGGGAGACGAGCCCTTACGTTCAAGAGTATCTGATATCTCTGACTCCCGTGTCATACAGAGCCTGCAGGATATGCTAACTGTAGTCCAAGCGGCTCTTCCTCCTCCTCTGGCGCTGGTTCGTCGTCCTTTCGTCGTGCAGGAAATGATATAAGGCGGGGGTAAGGACTGTTGGTGCATCCTTTGTGCCACGGCCTTCTTCATCTCTTCATCCGGCTTGGCAGGCTCCGCAGCCGCTGCTTCGGTGTCCGCCTTCTTCTCCTCTGCACCTTCCTCCTTCAAGGGCAATGAGTTCGCGCCCTGGTAGCTCGGGCCGGGCTTGATTTCTTTGATTGTGTGAAGGCTACTAAGGTTCCAGAGCCCTCAGTCCTGCTCGGTTTTGTTCGCCTCCTCTTCCAGCTTCTTCTTCGCATCTTCTGCCTGGCTCCAGAACCCAGTGCCAACTGCCAACATCCCATGGCTGGATTGTGCATGGCATGACCACTGCTCGAATTGATGACTCATCTCTGACAAAATCCGAAGACCTCCTTCTTCTTCGCTTCCAGGTCCTTTTGTCGCTGGATCATTCTCTTCTTCTGCTCTTGCTGTGCCTGGCAGTTTGGGGGGTGGATAAAGACACACTCAAGGGAGCAGGTGCTCTGCCGCACTTCTACAGATGTAAGTTGCCCGTCCCTGCCTTCTTGATTCTCCAGGTAGAGTCAGCCTTGTCCTGCTTGATCTTCAGGATTTTGTTGCGGACTCTGGCCTTGTAGTCCTGATGAATACGTTCAGGTATTCAGACGAAGCCCGGCGCGGCGCAGTAACACGTTATTTGCAGCCTCCCAGTGCTCTCAGTGCTTCCTTCGCGACGTTTCACTCCCGTCCCTTCCCTTGCCTGGCCAGGCTCCCCCATCACAACGTAGGCCACCTTGGCAGATCTTGGCAGGCTTCCGCTTGGAGGTCTGCATCAGCCAGCAAAATGAACCCCACGATGCATCTGCTCAACATTACAGCAGGAGAACTCAAGGAAGGCTTACCGTTGAATGCGCTGTCCCACAAGGCGATGCGAAGTCCGGGGCTCCGGCCTTCTTGAAGTGTGTCGAAGGGAAGCGCTTCAAGACCTGCGCGCGCTCCTGCTGAGGGCATGGAGGAAACTTGCTGAGACGGAATTCGAACGCAGGAAATATGCAAACTATTTTGGCGATGTGAGCACTCTGACTGCATGGCACCCATGTCCTCTTTGATGAGGTTGGACTTGACCTGTGAGCAGCACATAGCTTGAGCGCTGAATCTACATTAACATTTCGTCTGACGGAGCATGCTTTGGATGTACATGTTTTCCTCATTTGCAAGGGCCCCTGCGCTCAACCAAGAAGAGCTAAATGTGTAGTCTTTTGTTTTGCTGTTACTCTTGCTGATCCGAAACCTTAGACATTGAAATCGTTGCACGAACGTCACCTGTTGGATCCTGCAAAGCTGCTCCAAGCATGATACGTCAATGATAACTCAAACCGACACTGGCCTCCATCACGACGTAATTGCGGGGCTGCATGGGTGCCAGCATAGACACCACCTGCATACGCACAACACAACTTCACATCGTAGGTGGTGGCTCTTGCTAGGCCACCGAGCCGACAACCCCTAGACTAGCCTTCCACAACCCTGCGAACGAGATCCAACCGGCACCGCGAGCGTGATGACGGAAAGAACCGGCTGGTCACCAGGACAACAAGCTCGACAGCTGCTAGGATCACCTCCCCGCCCACCCAAGTCCCCCTTGTGGCAGAATTATAGTCTCATGTACTCCAGGCACACTGCGCCACGCTCGAATTTTAAGTTTGGGGATTGGCGACCGCACCCACGATTTGCGTCAGACTGCCTTCTGCGTGCTCATGTCGTCCAGGCTCGGCAGGCCGTACATGTAGTATGGCTTGTCATTTGACGCCTCGTGCAAAGCTTCTGCGCACTGACTCACAACTGAAATTAGTTTAAATCTTCAAGGGGGCGCAACAGAGACACAGCGGTGTGCAGAGATTGACACGTTGCCCCACATCTGATCACTGCCCGGGACATACGCTGATGCCGCGACGCTGTGCCTGTGGGCCCACCTTTGGCCGCGGAAGGCCGGAAGTCACTGCCCACTCCTGGATCCGCCTGCGGCCAAGTTCCCGGAAACGTACGAGTAACAACTGCAAGCTGCATCTGCGTTCTTGCATGCCTGTCACTGAGCTCCGTGTAGGTAGGCTTGTCTTCCAGGAAGCTGTCCAGCCAGTCGAAAGTGCCTTTGAGCATGAGGCCGAAGCTTACTCCGAAGCCGAGGGCCTGTGGTCACTTAGTGCACCGTGGTGCTGTTGGCAATAGGTTTTCAGGAACGGTGCAATGGAGGCGTTGCTGAGTGTAAGATGTGGCATACACTGCGGGGTTTACTGAAAGGGCGGGAGCCAAGATTTTCTTTGCCACAGTGTTCTACCAGTCGGTGGATAAGCATTGACTCCGAGAAACGGACCCCAAGCCCTGAGGCCACACAGACCGCAGGCGGACGGCGGGTGGCCTTCGTCTGGAAAGGCCACGGGCATGACCACCTCGCACTTGCCATCCTGCAGTCGGCCAGGGCCAGTCGTGTCTTCTTTAACTGCTCCAGACACAAGACCTGCCTTGGGTGGGGTCTCCACCTTGCTGTCGGATGTCCTCAGCAATGCAGGGTGGTGCACGGTGAAAGAACTGGCTGCATCTCCCAACCCAGCGACGAAGTGAATACAAATCAAAACGACTTCGCGAGCCTTTACAATCATGCATGCCGATGGCGGTCTGGACCGCTCAGAGGCTTACCACACAAGACATGAATACACCTGCAACAAAACATAGTGTTTGCAAGGAGAAATCCACAGTTGCTTGCTTGAAATATGAATATAGAGAAGCAGAAGCATGAAGTATCAGCCTCCAAAAGCAACTGTCGCCTGTCACTCTGTCGGACATACTCCGGGGAGGAAGCTTATGTCAGTTCGCTGCCCAGAGGCTTGTACCGGGATCCCCTGTTGCCTCCCTCTACATCCTTCACCACCCCAGCCGCAGTGCAGGTGCCAAAATTCGATATCCTCCGCCAACTTTGAGAATGTTTTGGCTTTTGTGCTGCAAGTCGGGCTTTCCAGGGTTTCCCCGAACCCCTGCTGCTTCCGGCAGGGCTGAGACGGACGACGAGAAACGTTCCCGATACAATAGCCAGGACCTGCAGTCAGGTTACGCTGCATCAGCAACCATTCGGCAGACGAAGGGCATCTTCGTGAACTTGGCAGGCGCCAAGGAGCAGGCGCAAAGTCTGTAAACACTGTCCACATGTCTGCTCAGAAAGCACATGTATGTAAAGCAGTGGAGCCGTTACCCTGAATATACTTCAGTAAGTTATTCGAGATTTAAAGGCTGCTTTCAGTCTCTTGGCTGCAGGCCGGCTTCTTGCCCATGTTCACCATGACGCTCCTGAGCAGCAGGAAGGACACAGGTCATCTGACAGCATGAACAAGGAAAAGACAGCGTCACCCCTAAGGCATACTCAAAAGAGACGCAGCCACACCCCTCAACTTTGCCGGAGCCCTGGAAGGGATGAAAGAAACGTGGAAAACAAACAAGCTTACGTGGCAGGGACATTGACGCCGAGCGTCATGTGACGGTAGCTGATGTGAGGGAACCTGGGCAGGTCGGATGCAGATAAGTCTGTTCATGCAGTCATGCGAACATTGCGAACTTAGTGAAGGGAGCCCAAGTTCACTCGGGATCTCCGCTGAGCTTGAGGCAGAGGTTTGCCAATCAGGTTCTCCTGCAATCAACACACGGACCACCTTGACCTTCCTGTGTTGACATTCCATGGCAGTCTTGGCACACAAGTTTTGACCCACGCGCCCCTTCAGGGCAGGAGACTTCTGAAAGCTGCAACGCTGCAACTTGTGGTGAGAATCTGGGACGCGCATTCACGAATTCTGCAGGTTGCCTAGAGAACTGCCTTCAGGCTTCAAGTTGCTGTCACACCCACCCTAAAGGCCAAGGGGATCAGCGCGTCGTAGATGCCTCGAGCACTGGACGAGATCAGGTGAGCCTGCGAGCCCCGCGAGCCTGCACCTGCCTTTGTCTGGCCGCATCTGCCTGGTGCGGAGCTCCCCGAAGAGCTCCAGAGCCCGTGGCCTCATGCGCCAGGAGCGAAAGACACATCCACTTTATCTCCAGCCGCCAGCCTCCCGGCCCGGCAAGATCCTCCAACCTACTAATTTCGCCATGGATCCACGCGCTGGCAGAGATGAGGGAATTCATAGCTATCCCATAGCTTCGAAGGTCCTCGTCATCACCCCGTTTGCAAAGAACATGCAACTGTCTGCTGTGCTTTAGCGCTGACGTTGGCTGGGGCTTGAACAAGTTATGGAGAAGCGGGGAAAAGGATTCCAGGATGTGAGGGGCGGGGGGTTCGGCACAAGCTGCAAGTGTGAGCCAGCTCCAGTGAACTTTGGGTGCTGCTGGCAAACACAAACCTGTTGGTGCGCTATCCATCTTGATCTGGAGAAGTGCACGGAAGTTGTTGGGACGAGGTCCGCTTGCCATGAGACTGCGACTGTCCGTCATCAAGCTTAACGGCGTCAAGGAAGACCTACATGAATACTACATCCCACCAAGACAGCGCAGCTTTGCGGGTTTCAGTCGGAGCGCCTTGTTCAAAGCACGCTCCTCCATCGCTGCCAATGTTGCGAGCACCATCTCCCAATGGCCATCCAAATTTCGAAGCACCTGGTTGAAGGTAATCACGTCACCTGCAGAAAGGGAGAGGCCCGAAAAATTTTCAAGGCAAGGTTGAACCGAGAGAGCCCAGGCCGGCCTGGTATCTGCGCGCCGCACCGGTAAACCAGGTCCAGTGCCAGCTGACGAAGGGAAGCAGACAGGTTTCCGAGGACAAGTTTCACAGAATTCGTTCCGAGAGAAGTATCGAGCCATTTCGACTCTTGCATCACGGTGGCCTAGAATCCTAGAATCTACCCTTTTGGGCAGCAGACCTGCCATGCCCGTGCAGCCGCGCAATTGCCAAGCGCAGCATTGAGGACCGCACTGTCAAACTGAAGGCTGCTGCCTTGTCAACAGTCTGCGAAGTCCATAGTTGGGTCGAGTGATGAAACCAGCTCAGTCTATTGTCCTTTCTTGCCCTGGCTGGCTGGGATCTAAGATCCCTCTCCCCGCCACCCCATTCCCACCAAGCTGTCACACCCGGGTTAGCAGGCTTCTTCGCTAAGACACAGATGGCACAAACAAACCGCAACTACAAGTGACAACCACTTCAGACATTGGAGGCGTGTGGCCAACTTGAAGCGGTCTTAAAGCAAGCACACCCAGTAGCCAGCACTGAAAAATCACAACAGCACCACAAGGAAACTCCAGCAGCAGCACCCACACTGACAGCTAACAGCAATAACGCCATGCTGCAAATTCAACCTTACATACAGCCGAGAGAGGCAGGCCACCCCTGCGATGTTAATCTGATGATTAGTGGACCTGTTGCTTGCGGCATTCACGTACTCCTACGGTAGCGGGTTGCGGCTTTGCGTACCGTCTCCCGATGTGCATCTCTAGCTTGATGCGTGAGTTTGAATACCTGGGACCTGTATGTTGGGGTGCTTCATGCCTTGTGCTGCACTTCTTTGTCGACCGTTGTGCAACTTGCGCTTCTTCGTGCCTCTCTTCTGCAAGCTGCGCAGTGCTGCTTCCTGGCATTTCCGACTTCGCAAAGCACCATCTGAAGGGTGCAAGACAATGAGATTCCTAGTTTTCAGGAACAGCGGTGCAAGACCATGGCCTCAAGCCCCTTAGCCTCGAAATGTCTCGTGAGATTCTGGGCTTTCTGTAATGTCCTGGTGCTTCACGAATCAAATTAACAGCATTTGCAACGAAGACCAATGGAATTATAGCTCACGTCGTGACGGAGTTGTCCGGCGATGAACCAACGTTACGTAATTCAGCGACTCAGTTGTGATGATGTTGATAAGTGGCTTCAAACATGCCGCTGACGGTGGAGGTGGTGGCGGCAGCGTTGGCAAGACAGGTGGCAGTGGCATGGTAGGTTGGTTGATACGACGGTTTTGGAGCAGCAGAAGCAGCCCGCCACCAAGGAGCAGCTCAGCAGAGCTGCAGCAGAGGAGGCGGGGGAGGAGAGGAGAGGCGGGAGGACCAGCACCACCACGACCCCCTCCGACAACAGCACCAGCTTTCAACCCATCGATCGTCTTTGCGAGGAACGTACATCGCCATGCTGAGTGGTGTTCATGTTGACTCAACTCCTCTAACAGATACGACATGTTTCAATTGAGTGCTACTATCGGATAGTTGCATGGAAGGGGCTCTCGTCAAGCTGCTGAAGGAGCGAAAGAGAGATCTCCCAGTGCCCATTGTGCTCGCAGAGTTGCATCAGGGTGGCGTAGGTGACGGTGCTGCTGAGCCGCTGCCGCTCCATCTGCTGAAACAAAGCCAGCGCGTACGGCCACAGGTGCTTTGAACACGCGCTCAGAGCCGCATTGCTGGCTTTGGTTTCAAAGTCAACCTCGAGCTTGCAGGCTCTCAGCGTCTTCAGTTGCCCCAGGGCATCCTGCCAGCGATCGGCTCTTGCAAGCGCACTCGTACGAGAGATGTAGGTCACACCGTCGAGCTGCAAACCGTGGCATGTCAGGTTGTCGGAACACATCAGAGCTTGCCTCCAGCGCCCGGTCTGCCCAAATTGGGAGATGGCATCATTAAATACCATGACAACGCCTTCCATGGCCTGGTTGGCCATGTCTTGCAGCAGCCGCAGTGCCCACTCCGTGTGTTCAGAACACGCGGAGATGAGCGTGTGGTAGGTCAAGCCATTTGGCTCCAGGCGTCTCTTCTGGATCTCTTGGAAATAAGCCAAGGCAATCTGCCATCGACCACTACGTTCACATGCACTCATGGCGGACGTGATGGTCACCACATCTACGTCAAAGGACATCTTCTCCATGGATTCGAAGACATACACCGCATGTCTCCAGCGGCGGCCAGTTTCACAAATGCTGATTGCCGTGTTGCATAGCATCACATCGAACTGAAGCGAGTTCTGATGGACCGCATGCATCATATCGACAGCGAGCTGCCACTGCTGCGCCCGATGGCATGCATTAATGCTTTCTGAATGTGCAGTAAGATCCAAGGTGACCCGAAAGCCACTGCAGTCCGCCAAGATCGAAGCGCCGTGCTGCCAAAGTCCACGACGTACGCAGCTGTTGAGAACTCCGGCGTATGCCCTGCACAGGCTAAGACAACATAAGACAACACGACGTGAAGGCGCACAGATCTGTACACACACACACACACACGAACGCATAAAGACTATCGCGTCGCAACCTCCCAGTCTTGCACATGTGCAATGCGGCTATGGCATGCTCCTTCAGCTGGCTCTTAGCTCGGACAAGCACCAAGCTCGCGAAGCCTGGCATCTGTCGAACCGGCACCACAGGTTTCGTCGAGAGTGTGGACGAGTGCCAGCGCAGAACTCCATGCTGCACCGCGTTGACAGGCCAGGAGGACCTGACTGCACAGACACTGACCACTCACGACATGGCACTGGAGTCAGGTATGCAAAGGTAAAGATCGCACTGTCGTGCCAACACAACTCCACTCCACCGAAGAAGCTCTGTGGCCATACAGGAGCCCCGGGTGCAAGCTATGCGCGCGGGGCCTGGTTCCACAACATCAAGTTACCGGCAGCTTTTGTCGTCTCCACCTTACAGCATCTTACAGCACTTTCACACGAAGCGCCATTCCCACCACGGGTGCTCGGCACTCGTCTACTCCCGCCTCGCACAGCAGCTGCAGAGAATGCTGCCATCTGCCGCCTGCAGCGCAAGCGATAAGCGCTCCGTAGAAGGTCGCCTCGAGTAGAGCAATGGCCAGCAAGCGCAAGCACAGCCCGAATCTAAACTGAGCTGAGTCTCCATGGACAGCGGCAATCTGCTCAATCTCATGTCTGAAAGCCTTGGATTTGATTGGCACCGAGACTATCCACTCGTCGCCGCTGGAGCAACTTGCATGACGACTGCTTTACGCCATGACCTCCGACATCGCCAAGCGGCAGATGCAGAGACTGCTGCCACTGCTCACACGTAGCACATGCATTGATGGCGGCATTGAAAATGACGGAATCTTTCTCTCCGGACGTTTGATCCAATGATGCCAGGAGCCGGCACGCTCGTTGCCAGTGACTTGCTCGATCATAAGCGGCGATCAATGCCGCGTGGCTGTATCGATCTGGACTCACGGAGATGGCCTGCAAGTGGACACAACCCTGACCAGAGCCGGACGAGAAGGGATCCGGCTCGGAACGTGCAAGCGCGCTCACACACCGCACGAACGACAAAATAAGGAACCTCACAAGGCTCTGAGTTTCGCCTCAAGGTCACCGAACATCTGCAACGCGGTCTGCCATAAATGAGCCTGCAGCCACCAGCTGCTGAACTATTTGCCAACACACACCATAAGGCTCTTTCAAACTTGAACCGATGAACGTGGAGCGATCGAATCCGAAATATGCAAAGTGCCGTGGCTGAGGATGGAATCCAATGTGAACGCTGAGGAACACTGCCAAGAGCGCTGATGACGGCGTTGTAGGTAATCACATCTGCAGTGAGCCGTCTATGCTGCAGATCCTTGGCAGCTTAACTCGGATACCTACAGGCACACTGAGATGCACCATGGCCCTGTCGCTTGTGGGCCGGAAGCAAGCTGTGCAGATCCCGCATTTCTCTGATGCTTCTGCTTTTATGATGTCCTGTGTGCTGAGCTTTCGCAGTCACTGAAATCACCACCCCGCCCCCACCCGCGTGCTGCATGTGCTGCCCAGGTTCCGAGAGCAGAGCTGTGGCCTGAGACCAACGGGAGGCGCTGCCGCAGGCGCTGATGACTGCGTTGAAGACGCTCAGCTCCGGGTCCGTGCTCTGAACAGCGGCGAAGAGTGCCAATGCAGCTTCCCACTCGCCACACCTTCCCAGCAGGACTCTGGGCTCTGGCTCTGTTTGCTCCTATTCACTGCGAGCGCCTGTCACAAGCTGCGATCGCTGAGGAAGTCGTCATGGTCCCGGGCTCCAGTGAGCGCGCTTGCAACTTTGAGAACAGCGCCTTAAGAGCTGCATTGGCTGCACAGCCGAAGGCTACAGCCCGGAGCCCGGGACGTTCCGATGCGTCCCTCGACCAAAGAGTGGACGCTAAGGACTCCGAGGCACGAGGGCTTGGTGCCAGATTCGTGCAGCGGCGCAACTAGAGATTGCGCTGCCGTACAGCACGGAGTCCTGGAAGCGACACGCTGGGGGTCGGCTGGCAGGAGGCCTGATTGAAATTCTTGCTCTGGCCGTTGTAGTCCGTTGTACCTACCTGTCACCTGCTTCACCTGGGACTTTTTGTGACAGATCCGAAGTCACACGCACACACACACACACACACACACACACACACACACACACACACACACACACACGCAAACCAGATGGTCAATGAGAATGCCTGAGGTCATCCGGGCTCAACCCAGCTTGTACCCGTGGTCATGTCCATCGAGCAAAATTGAGTGTCGCGAAGTACCCTTCCTCGTCTAGAACCATCACCAAAAGAAGTGTTGGCCCCTTACCCAAACGAACTGACCAGAGATCATGAGGCGAAATTGGCGATTTCAGGCTTTAGCTGCTGCACCGGCGGCTGCTTCATGAAACCAGTCTCTCGAGAGGGGACATGACTGACCGCCTACTTGCTGCTTGCCGGCAAGAGTCTGCTTCCACCTGAGTGGACTCCGCATGTGAGAGAACCTGCAGGGCCACCTGCCATTGTTCCGCCTTTGCGCACGCCTTAGCAACATGCCCGAGGCTGGCAGTGCATTGCAATCTACAGCTCTTCCGAACCATCTAGGGATGAATTGGATCAGGGCGCATTGATACAGGAGCTGCAGGCTACGGCGTCGCTTCGCAATTGGGTCTTCTCCAACTGCGCCAGTAGGAGCAGAGCACATTGCCACCTGGCACTCTTCGCACCTGCGAGGCAGCGTACGTGGCTTAGTCTTCCCCATTCTAGTCCTAGTCCATCCTAGTGCTAGCTGTACTGCCCACAAACACGAAGCTTCTCTACGAGCAGCATTTTCCAATTGCCGCTCCGACCACGATGACCTTGCTCCAAGGTCCAAATTCGTTGCAGAAACTAAGCACTTCATGTGTTTGCAAGCCGGGAGGCATTAAGATGCTGTTCATCCACCTGGGGCAGGTGCAGTCTCCGAGTCTAGCGACAGACCGGTGCAATGGCATGTGGTGCCAGCAACCTGAACTACAAGTCAACAGGTTCAACTAAAACTAGTCATCGGCATCCCATGCGACTGTCAATATCTGAAGAGCACGCCCTGTCACATTCGGAACTTAAGAATTTCAATACTCACGAACCGTGCCTGACCGAGGATTTGCAGGGCTTCCCTCCACGACGATGCAGACCTCGAAACCAGGGCAAGCCGGACACTTTCCCTCTGCATGGAAGGCTTGATGAACAAGTAACCCACTTAGCAAGCCATGTAGCCGCAGAATTCCCAGCCGTACTTCTGACAAAGACAGCGCGGAGCAGTTTCTGCCGGGCTGCTTAATTTGTCGGACTGCATGAGCCGGAGAGCGACACACAAAGGTAGAGGATGCGCGCCCCATCCATGGCTCATGTTAGAAGATGCCGAATGGCTGTTGCTCATGGACATCAGATTAACGTCCACTGCATGTGACCTGGTATCTGAGATATGAGGATCGGTTTCTAACCAACTGGGTGAGGGGCAATCCGTCTCGAATCTGAGTTCGCAGGTCGGAAAACACAGCAGGCCTGTTGCTATAAAACATCTAACAATGTGTTCCATGCGCTCGGCACTGACTCGATTCCAAGACCTCTCTCCTACGAAAGCGGAAACGACGCAGCAAAGTGATCGGTGTCCGAGAGTGGCTTGAACTACAGCTGCCGTGATTGACAAAACTTGACTAGCTCTCTCACAAGCTCCCAACATCGTGATGAATCCTGGGCCAAGCTGGCCTGTTCTGGGTTCTGGCATGCGCAAAGCAACCTACAAGCTGCAGGCGCTCCGGAAGCTTCTGGGGCTTGCAGGCGCGGACGCCATTTGTGAAGAGGCTGATCTCAGCGTGGCACAACATTGATGTGGAGCAGAATCGGCACAGCACTTCAAGCACTACTGCAAGGCCTTCGGCGCACTTTCCACGGACCGCTTTGTTGCTGTCCAAGGCGCTGTGTTCGCATGAGGACTCTTCGGATCCAGGTTCAGAACCACAGCCATGCCCTGTCACAGCCACAAGTAGGGGTAGCTTTTGATCTATTTCTGCGTCAAACACCACAGCATTGACTGAGCATCTTCGATGCGTGCTCCGAGCCTGGTCACGGGCAAATTTCTGCACCACCCGAGGAGTTCGAGTCTTCCCAGTGCAGTAATTGCCCTCGTTGTCGAAGAACACTGCGGTCTTGGATTCCAGGCCATGCAGAAGCGACACCGAGGCGCTGTTCGGTTTGCAGATTGCAGCCACGGGGCATCAGACTCACCAAGCACCAGCGGGGAGCCTGCTGTGGAGAAGCCCACTCGCACCAGTTGCCTGTCGATGACTGAACGGAATCTGCCGGAGGCCGCAAAGCATCACAGCCGACCACAAACAAAAAGATGCTCCCTGTGGTTTCAAAGTTGATGTACTAAGGCCAACGATGCTGCTGACGGCAGTCCGGGCCTCATCTGCTTCAATCTGCTGTTATAGGTTTCCTCGGTCATGCAATGTCGGGCTACAAAGCAAGTCCCAGAGTGCTTGAAACTGCATGGTATCATGTGGTGTTATCAGACTGATGGACACAGGAACTGATACTGCACGAATCTTCTGCAGTTCTGCTTTCAGGCGCCTTCGCCCTCATCTTATGGACCAAGCCACGGTCGTGTGGTAGGTCTCCACGATCTTGAACTGCGTTGCGACATCCACATGTCTTTGCCAGGCCATGACTTCATCACTGCGCCTAGCTGGGGCCCAAGGGTCGGGCCTCGAACATGTGGCGGCCAGACTTCAACCCGACGTTGGCGCGGGCGCCTGAGATCATGTACCTGCATCGCAGCAAGGACGTCGCAATCATGGCTTAGGTTCATCTCTGTATCTCTTTCTCGTGCCTGAATGAAACTTTGAGCAAAGGCTCAGGACGCACAGCCATCAAAATGGTGCAAGACTCTTTGAACTCGGAGATATTTCACCCAAAGAAAAAGACACAGATCGCTGCCGTTCCCGAACCAACTCACGCTCCTCGTGTTCCAACCAGGACACACAACCTTCCCACGGGTATCCGACGCACCTTTCATGCCCCGACCAGTAGGGAGGGACATAGAACGAGACAGAGTGACAGAGAGGTCAGGGACAGAGAGAGAGAGCGACACAGCTGAAAACGGAGCCGGTGATTCGAGATGCAATAGAGCAGACAGAAGGAAAGGTCTGTGCTACGACTTATCGCATCCTGTTGGGCGTGCGGGGTTCATGAAAACTCGTGGCACTGCATTATCTCAGTGCAGTCACGCCGCTGGAGTCCACCTTCATTGATGGACATCAGAACCTCTCAACCCACCACAGGATGCGAGCACGGTGTTGCATGTGCAAACAACGTGCGTCTCTCGTACTCATGCCTTGTTGCCCATGCACGGCAATGAATCCAGCGTAAGATCTGGCGTCAAGAATTCCACGTCCGACCTGGGAATGCAGCAGGATCCCCAGCGCATTCACGGGTATGAGAAGTCACTAGCCCTCGCAACAGATCTGCGGGTACGTCCACCTTTAAGCCAAGCGTCTTTATCTTGGGCTTCTTGTCCACGACGTCGTCCTGGGTTTGCTGATGGAGTTACATCTTCAGGGTTGAACTGCCAGCGTGGCCCGTTCGTTAACCATCCACCCGCCACGCGAGTCAGGAGGTCATCGGTCCTCTTCCTCCTCGAACTCATCCTGCAGCGCAAGCGGCAAGCAGAGGGACCAAGTGCAAGTGGAGACTTGGTCATCTGACGCAGGCATAAGACCGGCTTTGGCTTCAAAAAGGGGAGCTTCAGAACTTGCAAGGCTGCAAGGATGTCCCGTTGTCCCGGATCCCATCGCCTTGGCCTCCTTTTTCGGCGGCTCCTCGGCCGGCGGCTCCTCAGCCTTTCGCTTCTTCTCCTCCTAGCAGCTGCGAGTCACTTCGACTCGTTCGGGCATTCGGACGCTGTGTCTGTGAGACGCCTCTGGCTTCTTTGGCTCCGCCTTTGCCTTCTTCTCCGCGACCTGGGTGGATGGAGGACTCCGAGACACAACCCCTGCGGTGTTTGTGTGCGCGCACGCAATGCACATGCAGTCCTGGCATACTGATGGGCAATGGTGTCACACAACACGGAGAACAGAGACCTCACATGGCCTCAACTGACACACCTAGCAGGGGTTTCGACACGTGGAAAATCGACACGAGGGTCCATCTTGAGTTCTCGGTGAACTGGTACAGCGGAAGCTTGCACCCAAGACAGAAACAGATAGTAAGGCTCCGACTGGCTTCTTCTTGGCTTCCTGCGATGCAAGGCGCTTGCCAATTCTCTTGCAGAAGCACTTCAAAACGATTGGCGGCAGTCCGTCTTCTCAGCGGGCTTTGGAGCCATGGTGAGCTTTTGAGGAGACTTGGAAGAGGTGGAGCAGAGTGGCTGCGCGGACTCTTCGTGCATCTCTGCAAACAACAGTTCTCGAGAAGCATTTCCATTTCAGGTGTCTGCAAGGAATCAAGTGCCATATTATGTTGAAGCATTCAAAAACGCCTTCCGTCCCGCAGAAGCAAGACCATCAGAGCGTTTGCGTTCAGAACCCTGAGATAGCGTTGCTTGCTCTTCTCGGTTCCTGAACTTTCAGCCATGGCATTGGTGAAATCAGTCATCTCGCCGCCCTCATTGGCTCGTGCAGGAGGATTCTTCCGAGCCGTCTGCTCCAAGTTTCTTTGTCTCACTTTGTGTTCGGCTTGGGTTTGCCCATGAGGTCCTCAAATAATAGAACTGTCTGCCACAGACTCGTGCCGGTGCGATCAGATCAACAAGCATCCTGGGCAGTTCTTGCATTGCTCGGTCGGGCATGCCTTGGGATTTGTGCGGCCGATATGGAACGCAGCAACCCCGGACTCATACTCGACAAACACAAACCGAGTTTGGCTTGCTCGAGAAACCTGGGGCTCGTTGGGATTCGCTGTCTGGGTGCAGGCGCATGAACCGGGCTGGACTGTGCACTGGGCGTCAGCCGCTTGGGGGTCGGGTGCCTCTCGCGACAACCACAAATTGAAGATGGTAAAAGCATGTAAGAGCAAGGAACACGCGACACAAAAGATTGATGTCAAGTCCCACGAATACGAGTTCAGCCAAGAATCCACCATCAAACTGGCTGAGCCTTCAAGCCTGCGAAGAACACCTTGACTTGTCGAAGGACGGAACACTGAAAGGCCTTGCATTCCAGCCCTCCTGAAGCAGCAACGAATGGAACGATGCAATCACAACCCGGCTGGACCCCGCCATCTTCGACAAGCCAGCGTGGAGGCTCGCCGCAAGACATTATCTGCCTGGTGGCCTATTTCTTGCGAGGAAAAACCTTCGACAGCAAATATCTAATACGACTGAGAACACTCAATTTCGAAAGCAAGTGCTTGCAAGTGCACTCTCAAACAGCGAGCAGCATGACTGACAAGCTGCTCGCAAGCCTGGCCCTGTTCTGTAACAGGATTCCAGCTGGTGAAGAATTGCTTTGAAGAGCATTCTAAGGCTTTGTGCACTAAGCATGACCAAACTTGGGGCAGCTCACTGAGTTGTGCTTCGACGGTGCTCGAACAAGAAGCCCTCGAAGAACTCCAAAGCCTTGAGCAGAAAGGGCTTCAAGCAAGGACAGGGGCATGCTGCAAGCTGCCAGCTTTCTAGCTTTCACTACTGTAGGCATCTCGTGGACGGACACTTGCACGCACAAGCGCAAACCAAGCAACTCAACGGAGCGGTCATCAACCAGAGGTGCAGTGAACTAATGCGTACTTCTGCCGAGTCACACAAGAGTCCGCCCAGGAAGATAAGGTAAATCCACCCAGCGCAGGCAGAACCTGGAAGTGTAAATGGCTTGCGCTTCGATGAAATCTGTGTGATGGTCGACCACATGCAAGCAGCAAGTGAGGGAAAGCCACGCAACACCAAGCGTTGCTAAACGTCGCAAGTGTCACAGGGTCTGGGATCCGGACTCGGGTGGCCGGGAAAATGCTGCCATCCAAAAATGGACAATGGGAGCCTATGGCAGGGCGTCGTCACGACCATCTCCGATACACGGAGGGCGCAGGGATGTGCGGAACGGTTCTCGCCGATCAGGCGCTCTTTTTCTGCACAGATCTCGCTCGCACCGATCGTTGACCCTTTGGGTGCTGCGGCTGCGGTGCGGTGCCCGATGGGTCTGGGTTTGACCACAGAGCAAAACCACGGCAAAAGCCAGCAGCTGCTGCTGCCCGGCAAATGCCGGATGTTACAACGCTGGACCAGCATCTCCAAGCTCTGTTGGATCTGGCTAAACTTGAAAAGCATTTTCAAGCTGCTGTTCTTTCTGAAAAAATATTCAAAGCACTTGGGTCTCTCATTCGAGAAGACTTGCAACGAGGCAGCTAGGGGGGAGGATCTGCGTCCAAGACTTCGGGAATCCTCAGTCGTCGGCATCTGTGGAAGTTTTCGCCCGCAATCGATGGCCAGCGAATTGTTCTGGAAAGCATGAGCTCAGTCTACTAGCGAACCAATTCGCCCCCTCCCCAAATCCTGCAATGCCTGTCTGGTACAATAAGTATGGCAACCTGCAACATCAGAGCCGCCCAAGAGCATGTCCGGTCTGCGCGGAACTTGCAGGTGACCAATTGGCAGAGGCCGAGGCTTCCTGCAAACTGGCTTCTGACTCTATACCAGACATCCGTGACGGACTCTCCACAAAGTCCGAAGCGCGGCCCCCCACTGCCCCCGCCCCGCGCACGTAGGACTGTTTGTGGTGCGGTGAGCCCACATGCGTGCTCGTCCTCCCTGTCGTTCGAACCCAAGGTCTAGATCGGTCCGCTGCACTCACTGTGATTCCGTGATGCTTCTTCCGATGATTCGTCTAGATTCTGCACAGCCGCGGAGTACGTGCCTCGTTGGCTCCGGACGTCGGATGCCGGCAGTGCTGTTTGGGGCTGCAAGGACAATCTTTCCTGTGCTGGTGATGCTAGAGCTTTTGCGAACTCTCACAAGGATGCTGCGCACCAAGAACCGCTCGCCAAGCGACGGAGCTTCTTCTTGAAGTCATGGAAATGGTTGCCTTGGCAGTGACCGGGACCAGAAAAAGTTCCGATCTCACAAGAGCCTAAGGAGTCTGTCGGCTTGAATCAATTCATCCCGTGACAGCGCTGGGCTCATGTCGAAGTCGCATTGGGAGTATACAGCCACAAAGCCAAGGAACCCATCTCGGATCGAAGGTTCTCGCGAGTGCTTTCCACCTCTTTGTGTATCTCGCTGAGCATCGCCTGCCCAAGGACACGTGGCCAGAGTAACAAAACATAAACAAAAGAAGTTTTCCTGCTCTGCTGCCTGCACAGCCTTTGTCGCAAGCAGAGCAGCGACCGTGTCGCTCTTGGTGACCTCTCCACGGATTTTGAGCAGGCCGTGGACCAGCTCCGCTATGTGCAGCGTCCTCGGACGTGCAACGCAAAAACTGCCACAGACGTACACACACACTGACTGATTCGGCCAAGAGTACGAGTGCAAGAGGAAGAAAGAGAGGCATGTTGTGATTGTGGTATGCATGTGAAAAGGTCGTCGTCGTTGTCCTCGTCCTCGTCGTCTTTTCCACTCCTCATCCACCAGCTGGCACGGCCGCCCCAGATGCAATGAAGGTGGAAAAAGCAGGTACGTTTTCACAGGCTTTCCGGGAAGGTCTTCGTTGACCACCGCTCCCCGGAGGCCTCGGTGGTCCCCTGCTGTAAGTTCTCAACATGCTTACGTGTTTGTGGTTCTGTGCCAATGTGAAATCAACATGTTGACAGTATTGTGAAAAAATACCAACAGGAGTGACCCTCTGCTCCCATGTGCTAGGGAGGTTCACACACACACGCAGCCCCACACAGGGGCGACAAAGGCAAGCACTGTGGCATGTTGTATTGTGGTGGTGTCTTGCACAGTGAGTTGTGTCAAGTGACCAGCCGTGGTCACTGGCAGACAGGTGTTCCTGTCTTCATTCCTTCAGAAGGCGTGGACCGCCAACGAAGTGTGTGTTGATGTTGTGACTGTGGTTTGTTTTCAAGCAAGGCTCAACCAAGGTTGCGTGCTGGAACTGCTGACAACTGCAATTGTGCTTGTGACGCCTGTTGTCCACTGCAACAGTGCCAGGTGAGTGGCGCTTGGTGTGTTGGGGTTGTGCCTGTGGTGTGTATTCACGCAACGCTCAACGAAGGTTGCATGTAGGAACTGCTGATGTCGGTGCCTTGTTGTCTTGAGAGAAGTCGAAGAGGCAGAAGAGAGGCCGATTACTTCCCGGAGGAAGCTGCAACCACTTGCATTAGACGAAAGTTACTGCATCTGCACTCATGTCAGAAGCACATGCCCTGGCATTCCCTGAAGAATAAAGGAGCGATCGAATAGAGGACAGACTAGCGAGGTAATCCTGTGCGTTAGCAGCCAGTTACTGCACTAGACGCCGGTTACTGCATCTGCGCTCATGTCAGACTCACATGCGGGCATCAGAGAGAGAGAAAGTAATCATAAGAAGCATCGGGAGATCTGAACGGTCTGAACGAAGGCTGAACATCCGGTTTATCACCGGTTTCCCTTTCGGAGGGACACCACGGCGCCATGACGGAAAGCCGCTGCTCAGGAGTCTCATGACCCACGATAGTCACACTGACTGATTCGGCCAAGAGTACGAGTGCAAGAGGAAGAAAGAGAGGCATGTTGTGATTGTGGTATGCATGTGAAAAGGTCGTCGTCGTTGTCCTCGTCCTCGTCGTCTTTTCCACTCCTCATCCACCAGCTGGCACGGCCGCCCCAGATGCAATGAAGGTGGAAAAAGCAGGTACGTTTTCACAGGCTTTCCGGGAAGGTCTTCGTTGACCACCGCTCCCCGGAGGCCTCGGTGGTCCCCTGCTGTAAGTTCTCAACATGCTTATGTGTTTGTGGTTCTGTGCCAATGTGAAATCAACATGTTGACAGTATTGTGAAAAAATACCAACAGGAGTGACCCTCTGCTCCCATGTGCTAGGGAGGTTCACACACACACACAGACAGCAGTGCAAAGCTTGAATATGTCGCAAGGTCGTGCAAGCTGTTCCATAATGCTCCCAGGCGTCCCGCTCCCGTCTGCATCGATCACCTAGCGAACAGACTGTTGGGCTTGCAGTTGCCGCATGAAGACAGAAGTGTTAAGACAGACTGGCAGAGGAGTAAGGCTTAGACATCTATCTCATGAATTTAATACTCAGTTCAATACTTTGCGCACATGCTTGATTTGTAGCGGCTGGAAACTTTAAAAGGGAGAAACGCATTGCACCAGTTTGGGAAGCACTGGGATAGAGTCGAGGCGTAGTGCAAACGGCTCCGAATCTCTCACTCTGAAAGCTTCGGCAGTGAATTCTCTGCCGCTTCCCAGGAATTAGCTCCAACAGATACCAGGACCCCGGAAAACACATACTCTGAAAGTACAGCCAAACGCAGGTTCGTTTGTGCTTCTCCCAAGTTCTTTCATTGCCAGTATCTGTGTTTTCGAGTCGTGGAGGTAGGCCTGCGAGGGGCTCTGGTTGAGCACACTGGAAGAACTCCGGCCGGGGTCACTTCCCCGGTGCAAGCATGCGAGTCATGCGCACACGTGATTGCTTATCGCGCTTTCCATCAGCGAAAGGAGATACTTCGAGAGAGATAGTACAAAAGCCACCCTAAAGCTCGCAAGTTACAGCTCGACATGAACATCGCGACAGCCGATCTCTCGCTAGTAGGCCAATGATCCAGAACAGAATAGCAGTCAGAAGCCCGAGACTAACCGGAAGCAACAGACTTTAGTTTGGTTCTTTCGTGACACCACATCCTGCTTAAACTCGATGAGCTAGCTCCTTCTCGGAAAGAATTGGATAGTGGGTCCGTTCGCCTGCACACTGACTCGATGTTGATCTGCCTATTCACTTCGCTTTATGCAACAGCGAACTTTCCCACTAGCAATCCGCGCAATAGTGTGGACACCTGTGGACACCTGCATGGCCCCTATGGCCCCTATCCCCATCCGGTTTCGTCCGGTCTAACAGGCTCATGTGTCACAAAACCGTTTGAGGGATCGCAGTTGGAGTTGAGTGAACCTTTCCTCGGGCTCTTCCCGTTGCGGTTACCTCGAAACTCCGCGAAACGATCTGCAAAACACCTGAGAGGCCTGTTGCACGGTGTGCCTGAAAGGAAACCGGTGGATTAAAGGACGATTTTGAGAGATGCAGCTGCAGCTATGGCAAAGCAAACATCCTCTACTTTGTGGAAAGCAGCGTTATGCATGTCCGCTGTGGGCTCGTTCAGAGTTCGCTTTCGGTAATCGCTGGTATTTGGAAATGTGCTGCCGCTCCGTGCCGCTTCACTGCCACCAGCGCGTGAAGCCGTTTCTGAGTTTGATTCCTGTGTTTGACATCAACAATACGGATCCCGAGGTTCGCCGAGTACGCAGAACACCAAGTTCATTGCATCAGCAAGACTTCGCACCTCGAACAAATTCGCTCGATCCGGGGGGAGGTCCAGATCGTCCATCAGCAGTTGAACTTGTCGGTCCTGGTCAGTGCTTGCACGTTGGTCTCAATACTTGCAATCACTCCGTGCAGAGATCATCGAGCTAACTCCGTGCACAATCTGTGTGAGCTTGCCTGAATGACAAGGAGGAAGAGCTCCTGCATACTGTGATGCAGAGCGCACAAAGCGTCTTTGAACGAAATGGCCGAGGCAAGAATAGCAGACTTCATGACCGCATCCTGGTTTTCGCACTTACAGCATTCAGTAGCTGTTTAGTTTCGTTGGTGGAGATTCTGATCCAAAACGTAAACTGTTTACTGCATCACTGCGCATTCTCGGAAAGATGCTGACACTCTCTGCACTTGGTGCTGATGCAGAAGAGCTGCTGCGGCTGACGACTCCCTGCCCTCAGAGATCAGAAAGCAGTCCTTGGTAATGGCGATGTTTTCCTGGATCTCGTCATCCGTGAAAAGGGCCGCATTGGGACTGATGTCGATGCTATGCATGTCACTCTCCTGCAACACAGACGCTTCAAACTCCAGCTCCCGAGCTCGAGACAGCAACAGTGAAGCTGGGCCCAAGCACGCACAAGAAAAAGTTTCGGCTCAACGCTCCTCAATGTCCTGAAAGAGATGGTACCTGAAAGGCAACCGCATGTGCGAGAGGCGGCAAGAAGCGCGAGCTATGCTGCAACCCGATGCATAGCACAAGTTGCATTTAAGTGCACTTTGGCCGGCCCTAATGTCCAAAAACAGGATTTTAGATTCGACTCGTGCACACAAATTTAGGTTCAGCAAGGTTGTCTCGTACCATCGTTTCGGCAAGCCACGCTTTCGTTGACTGCCCAAGCGTTGTAAATCAAGCCTGTGTGCACATGCTGATGCATACTGCAGATCCAAGATGCGCAGCAGCGAACTTCTTCAGCAGTTCGCGTGTGGTCCGAGCAATGCGGATAGACTCGCGTGCATGCTGGTCAGCTGTAACTGCCTCATTCTCTTTGGCCGCCTTCATCGTAATGTCAACCTCGAAAACTGACACTGCTTGCTTCGCGTCTCTGGCCGATGTGCACGTAGCATCTCACTCTGAGCGCTTTGACTACAGGTTCCATCCTAGATGCTTCATAGTTTCCATGCTGTCCACCTACATGCTGTTCTGGCTGCGATTGCTTTGTGACATCTTCGACAAACCAAGGAGATGTTTGATCCCAGTGACGTAAACGGCCAAGATCACATTGAAGATTCCCATCGCCTCAGTCGCAAGAGGTACACCCGGCACTCGGGAGCTCTGGGTGGTCATGGTCTGAGCACATGGCCACCAGCATGTAGCTGAAAACATAGCTGAAAACAAAGATGTGTCCAAATTCTTGTGCCAGCATGTGGGTCAACGGCTTGCCGTACTCGTCGACACACTCACCTGTCAGCACAGCATTTCCCAGCGATTCTCTGCGGTGTTTGCTGCCACGCGCTTGAATGTGCATGCTGTTGCCTGTGAAGCAGCGGAAACATGTAAACATGGAATCTGGCAGCGTCCTTGGATTTTAAGGGGAACATGCACTGTCTGTTCACCCGACTCAAAAAAGTTCACCAAAACTTGAACGCAAAAGACTGTGCCGAAATTTGTAAAGCCGCCGAAAGTACAGCTCCAGCTCCAGTCTTTCGATGGCTTCAGCGCCTCCAAGCATCATAGTGGCAAACCCGGAAATCACCTCACAGCCAACAACTGCACACCACAGACCGGAATGGAGCACAGCCGCACGGAACCAAAGCTGCGCCCAGCTGCGTATATGACAGAGAACAGCAGCGTGAAAGCCAAGATCAGGGTTCTCAGCGTTCAGGCTGTGTGACACTCAGTGCCCATCTGAATTTCATTGGCTGGCAAAAGCAGGCCAAGTAGTTTTGTATGCTGTGTCAAAGCTTGGCATAGCTTTCGACCTCTTGCGCCAAGCATCTTAATCCCGGCAATCAAGCCTTTCACCATGAGCCGCAGGTCTCTCATGAACTTCAAGCGGAACACCTGCGCCGCGGAGCAGAAAGAGACTTGGCGACGGACACACAGCTTTGCATGAGCCAGTGCCTTGACGATGCGTACAAGGCGAATCAGTCGACAGAATCGAAGAAGCGATGTGCCAAAAAAGTCGACCCTTTGGTCGGTGCTGAACTGAACCACCACGTCTGTGACTCCGGTCGCTCCAAGAAAAAGGTCCTTACTCCAGTCGCAAGAAGTGTCAGCAAGCAGCGAATCAACTTGCAGACCTCAACCACTTGGTCGAAGTACTGGAAAACTTCCCCATGCAGCATGTACCTGCTGTGATATGATACAAGTAGGAAAAACAAGCACGCAATCAAATCGATGCCTCAGGACGAGCAGCAAAGAAATTCCAGTATCGCTCTATGCCGCACCAAAAGTTCCGGCATTTCAGTAGATGCATTCGGAACGCAATCTCCAGCAACAGAAAGGAAGCGAATGCCGCTTCGAAATAGGCCCAACCCTGCCAGTCCTGATCGCAGGCAGTACCGTCGCCTTGAACTCTCCGAAAACAGTGCAGGTGGGGGCAACAATTGAGAGATGCGTAGGCTGGTTTTTTGATGTCCGGTGGGTAGTAGTCTTGAGTTGCCCTGTGCCTTGTTCCTGCATGCACGGGAGGGCTATGGAGAGCTCCAAGTTGCGTGTGAGACCTGGTTCGGTATGGTGGCCCATGGTGGCCCCATCACATGAGGGTAAGTCGCTCTCAGGCAACAACACGATAGAAGTGAGCATTGATAGGCACTCCTGATACGCGGGGTCTGTCTGGAAACCGATCCTTGGCCATTGACAATGCGCGGGACTTGGGAACAAAGCGCCGGCTCATTCTGACTCCAAGCTCTAGGAGAGGGGGGAGCATCATTTCGTCTGACAGACACACAGCGCAACCAACTGAAGCTGCCGGTAGCTCCAAGCCACATCACGCCATTCGCGACGATCAGCCTCCGGGGTAGGACTGAGTGACTGCAGATACCGCTCGATCACAAATCTAAAGTAACTCCTGTCTCACGAAGGCCGTGTGAACCTCAGTGTATTTCGACCCACCACGGAATTCCATAGATCGCTCCCTTTCAAGCCTTGTAGTCTGTGACACCTCCTCCCCGCTTGAAGCGAAGGACCCGACTGGAAGCATCACACTGCATCACGAATCGCGAGAATCTACCCAAGGCCGCTTCAAGATTAATTTTCATACCTGCGAAGGATGGTAGCCCCATGCAGCAACCTTGCTGACCTTCGGCCTGCTTGGACACACCGCCTGATGAAGCTCTCAAGCTGCCGCAAAAACAAGCCAAAGAACACGGCGACGAAAGGCTCGAGCAGGAGAAGCGGGTGCAGAGGCTCAGGTGGCACCTTAGGCGGGCATCGCCAGCCCCGAACCCCATGGGACTACCACCCGCCCCTTTGCATTCTCGATTCTAGAGCGCATCGTGTGGCATGCTGTTTGCATCATGCTTGACTGCCTTACCTTGCTGCGTGTACAAGACAAGCCCCTCTTTGTTGCTGTAACGAGTTGCCGAGATTGACGTGTCCTCTGCCAGTCCAGCTACATGCCATATCATCTCTCATCACATGATGTGTGTGGATGCGTGGGTGTGTGTTTGTTGCTGTCGCGCGCGCGAGTCATACGGATATGTAGTCTTACAGCTAGTAGTGTTGGCATTGTCATTGTTGCTACTAAATGCAGAAAGAGATGCGGCCAGGTCGTTGATTCGGACAAACGTCAATTCCGCAACAAGACCTCACAGCTGCCACCAAAATGAAAACCCTGCTATAAATACTATTGACCTGATTGCAAAGCAGACCCCGCAGCCGAGAAGGGCTTGGTGAGATCCACCCAGCAAAAACAAGCTCGCCATGCATCTTTCAACTCAAACTTGAGCTGCTTCTGAATCTTCTGACAGAGAATGGTTCTGCAGCATGCGCTCCGAACAAAAAGTTAAAAAAGAACATCTGGTGTCAGCAGCTGTGAGCGCAGCCACACTTTCCGTGGAGGCAAGAAAACTCGCTGCCGAGCTGCGATTGGTATCCCCGGCAAGCAAGATCTCCCGAATAGCTTGAAACGGCTTCAGATAAGATCCGAAGATCTTGTATTGAATATCCTCAGATTTCACAAACCTCACCAGCTGTCTTTTCCTCTTGCTCGCCCACACCGCCGTGATTTGCGGGCATATGTAGTGAAGATGGTCACCGCGCACCAGGACGCAGAGCAAGTTCAGACTGCAGCACATTGCAGGACGAGCATCAGTCTCCTCAGCCAAGCAGAGCTCCATGAGCGCCTGACGCAAAACGCTGCTCCCGCTTGCTTCTCAGAAAATCCATTGCAGCCAGAGCATTCAAGGAGAGAGAGTAGCACTTGACACCCTGCGCCTGGGCAGGCACCGCGTTATACTTCTGCTGCCGCGGCCTGCATGCGTGTGACTGGACAAATTGCAAAGTCGCTCTGGCAACCTCTGGCAGCGGAGTATACTTCCCAGCTTGCTGGAACAGCAAACGCGATCTTGTGAATCCTTACTCTACGAAGTTGCTAGACCCGGCACCGCTGCCAAGCTATGTACCTTCCAGGCTTTGCGACGCTGCTTTAATAGTGCTTTGAACCGGGCTGCTTGTCGAGGCCGTGCCACTGCAAAGATGCACTCTTGTGAATCCTGGGAGCAGCACTGCTGAGGAGCAGCAGCAACAGAAAACAGGGCTTCGGCTGGGCTCATCAAGCCGAGCTTCGATGAAGTGGAATACGACTCCCGGTATGGGGGCCACTCCCACTCAGGAGTTCCGAGGTTCTGGGCATCGTCGTCATGAAAGCTGAAGATGTGCGCCGCCGTCACCTATTTCGAGTTTCCAAGGAGCGCTGGCAAGGCCGTAGTAAAGGCCTAGCACGCTAGGCATGCATTGACATGCTGGCTCAGGGCCTACTCGTAGCTCAAGCTGAAAGAAGCTGCTCAAACAGTCTCGCGAACGAGCAGGAACAGGGTCCCTACTTTGAAGGTCGCTACAGGAGCAATCTGTGCAGCTTGGTCGCTGAAGTCTGACTCGGCCGCCCCTTGCGGAATGAAAAATCATGCCCCCACTTGAACAACAGGTTGCACAACAAGCTTGCGACTCTCAGAGTGTCAGGGAAAAAGCTTGGAGGCACCTTGTGGTCCGGTGCTGAAAAGTGGAGGCCAATGAAATCCCCAAGGCAGTTCACGATGTCGTTGATTTCGCTGAGTCCATATCTCGTCAAACCCAGAGCGGAGACTGCGTCATGGAGCGACTTGCCGGACACCAGCTTTGTTGAAGTAATGGCCCCCAAACGCACACGCAAGCGCCGTCGAATGGCCCGTGCTTCCTCCACGTTCAAGCCCTTCAGTCGAGAGCGCAGATACGGAGCCCCGCTCCCAGCAGTCGGAATCGCGGGCATGATCTCGCTGCTAACACTGCTTCCCGATCCTCTCGAATCTGCGGACGTCCGTGAGTCTGTCCCCAACTCGGCTTCACGTTGCGAGGAAGCCTTAGACAGTGTTCCAACAGGCGCCAGGGAATTTGGGAAGCCAAACCCTAGAATGTGCTAATTGCATTTCCGGCAGCCCTCGAGGCATTGGATCTGATCTTGGAGACCTGCACGGCTGCTGAAAGATGCCGAAAGCAATCGTGTCAACGAGATACCAAAATGCAGCAAAACGTTCGTTTCGGCACTTCTGGCAGACAATGCCTTCTCTGATACTAGCAAGATTGATAGGGCCGGGTGGGTGAGGGATCAAAAAAAATTAAATAAGGATCAAAAAAATTAAACGGAAAAATCAAAAAAAATAAAATTAGGATCAAAAAAAATTAAATCACCCAAAATACAGCAATTCCTGGTGCAGAGGCATCAAAAAAAATTAAAATAAGGATCAAAAAAATTTAAATCACCTTTAATACCGCAATTCCTGAATTTTTCCAAGGGAAAACACTGTTCCTAGGGATTTTCTTTTGTTTCCTTAGGATCTGTTTGGTTTTTCCTCTGGAAAACACGATATTCCTGCGGATTCCGTGCTATTTCCCTCAGTTTTCCTTGATTTTTCGTAGGAAAAAGCTTATTTTCCTACTACCTATGGCGTTCTGTTCATTTCTTCAGGTTTTCAGAAGGACAACATATGGTTGTTCCTCGGGAAAATCAAATTGTCCTTACAATTTCACATTTAGGACGGATTTCCTGTTGTAGATGTTGCTGGTATTCCGCTTCATCATCTATCTTAAACACGCCCCTCATTTGGCGATTCTGGTTCAGCATGTATCTACAAGGGCGGAGACGCCCTCATTTGCTGGGTTTCAAAAAAAAACATATGCTTCAAAGCAACCCTGCACGGCTTAAAACAGCGGGGGGGTTGGGGGGGGCGCAGCCCCCCCCATTTGCAGAGACAACGTTCACATGATGGGCTTCGAGAACACTGTTTGAATCAAGCTTGCACGTCTCGAAAAGCACGGCGGCGGGTGTTTTGTTCTTCCGTGCCTGTTCGTGTCTCTTCTTCCGTTAGCATTCTAACCTAATATATACAACATAGTAAACCAGAAGAACGACATAAGATTGTTCGACAACACAAAAATGGTGTGACATTTTCTGACATAACAGAACCTTGCTTCTTATAGCATATAATGGCATACTAAAAATACAACAATACAATATAACAGAAGATGGCATAGATCAAAACAACATCTTAGTTTATAGTGTAGTACATTGTAACATAGTACAATACAGTCTGCATATTTACAACATAATATGCAGTATATTTTATAACATTAGGTTACATTATGTTATATTATGTTACGGTACATTACGATATTATGGTAAATTCGATTGGACTATGTAGTATCCTGTTGCTTGTATCTTTGTTTCTGTGATTCTTTCATATTCTTTCTCTTTCGTCTTTTCCAACTTTGCTTTTTTATTCTGGACTTATTTCTTTCTTTCGCTCGTTCATTTCTTTTCTTTCTTTCTGTTGTTCTTTCTTTGTTCATCTCATACTCCCTTCCTTTCTTTCTTGCTTTCTTTCTGGTTTGATTTATTTCGTTCTTTCTTTGGTTCGTTCTTTCGTTCGTTCTTGGTTTCGTTCTTTCTTTCGTTTTTGCTTTCGTTCTTTCGTTCTCTCTCTGGTTCTATCTTTCTTTCTTTCTGTGTTCCTTTCTTTCGTCCTCTTTAGATACAGCAATTTTTGAATTTTTCCCAGGGGAAACACTGTTTTCATACGGATTCGTTTTCATTTCCTGCGGATTTGCTTGGTTTTTGCTCGGGAAAACACGATTTTCCTACGGATTCCGTGGTATTTCCTTAAGTTTCTTTCTTTAGTTCTTGCTTTCGTTCTTCCTCTTGTTTTTGCTTTCGTTCTTTCGTTCTCTCTCTCGTTCTTTCTTTCTTTCTGTCTTTTTTTCTTGCTTTTTAGATACAGCAATTCTTGAATTTTTCCAAGGGATAACACTGCTTTCCTAGGGATTTTCTTTCGTTTCCTAAGGATTTGCTTGGTTTTTCCTGTGGAAAACACGATTTTCCTACGGATCCCGTTGTATTTCTCTAAGTTTTCCTTGGTTTTTCCTAGGAAAAAGCCTATTTTCCTATTACCTACGGCGTTCGTGTCATTTCTTCAGGTTTTCCGAAGGAAAACATACGTTACCTAGCTTATTCCTCGGGAAAATCAAATTTTCCTTACAATTTCGCATTTAGGACGGATTTCGTGGTGCAGTTGTTGCTAGTAGTGTTGTTGCTGGCGTTGTGGTTGTAGGTGTAGTATGTTGTAGTTTTTATAGCTTTCTTTATTTACTTAGTTCTATATTTTTGTTTTCTTTCTTTACTTATAGCTTTCGTTATTTACTTATTTCTCTATTTCTTGCATGGCTCTCTTTCTTTGTTTATTTCTTTGAAGCGATAGTCTTACGTATCGTTCTTCTTTATTTTCCGCGTCTTTCTTGTTCCTTTAACTATGTCTGTTTTTCTTTACTAATTTATGGCCTTCCGTCTTTCTTTATTTCTCTGTTTTTTGTTCTTTGGTTATTTCTTCATTGCTTGTTTTGTTTTTGTTTCTAACTCTCTTTGGTTCTTTCCTTGTGTGTTCTTTTTCTTTCCTTATAGCTTTCTTTATTTACTTAGTTATCTATTTTGTTTTCTTTCTTTACTTCTAGCTTTCTTTATTTACTTATTTCTCTATTTCTTGCATGGCTTTCTTTCTTTCTTTCTTTTGTTCTTTATTTCTTTCGTTGTTTCTTTATTTCTTTATTTCGTTCTTTCTTTCGTTCTTTCTTTCTTTCTTCCTTGCTTTCTTTCTTCCTTCTTTCTTTCTTTCGTTCTTTCTTTCTTTCTTTCCTTCTCTCTCTCTCTCTCTCTCTGTCTTTCTTTCCTTCCTTTTTCCCCTTCCTGTCGCGGATACCCGTTTAGTTTTTTTTTGATCCTTATTTAATTTTTTTTTGATCCTTATTTAATTTTTTTTTAACCCCTATCCCGGCCAGTTCACTGCCTGAGTCTAGCGACACACATGATCTCCAAACCTGTGAGGGTGCGAGCCCCAGCCGGGTGATCCGACGAGCTTTCTGCGGTTGGCGGCATGTGTTGGACATGTGCTCCCCCACTTGCGATCGGATCGTTTGCGTCATTGGATGCCAAGTGCCAAACCGTACAGAAGCCAAGAACACAGACTTTCGAGTCACGGAGTGTCCTGGAAAATCCCATGCAAGCCTATGCCGCGGGGAAACAATGTTGAGGTTGCTGCAGGCACCAATGCATGTGTCATGGTTCCAACGACAAGTCCGAGATCATATTATGAGTCACAGACGACACATCAAAACTAACAGGAAAAGTGATTGTCAAAAGAATCCTTGCATGTCCAATGTAAGTCTGTCCCACATTGCCTCCTCCATGCTGCCAAGACTGCCAAGACTGGCGAAACGGGAGATCTCCACTCCCATGTCATCCTGGTCTTCCTGCATTCAACGTAGCGCTTTCAGCATCTGCACATCCTGGCTTGGTAGTCTTCCAACCATGCTCGTAGTCCTCTGTGGCCCAATGCTGAGTCAGCTTCATGTCGACGTCGATTCCGTTTGCATCTGACAGGCAAGAGTTGGAAAGCTCGTGGGAAGCAGCAGCGTTGGACATGCGAGATTCTGAAGGTCCAAGGATAAATAACATTGAAAACGCCGATAACCAGAGGAGGGCACACAAGGTCATTCGAAGGATGCCACCTCGACGTTCGAAAAAGCGCGAGGAAGAATCAGACATGGAGACAAAATGGTCTGAATTGAGCAGAACAAAGGCGCCAGCTAAAAGCCTAACAGAAGTGAGGTCCCGATGCAAGGGCAAAACGAAGCTTCAAAAGAAGGTGCACACACGTCGGAAACAGAATATGGAAACTGGAAAAATGAGGAAAAACAAAAAATCTCAAGAAGGAAGGAATACACAAGTTGACGAAAAGTGGAACACTTGGGCCGTAAAACCATGCCGAGCACATCTACTCGGTGCACGGGGCGTTCCCGCAGGTGGTACAGGAGGCAGTTCAACAATTCGCAACATGTCAACAACATCGGCAGCCGAGGGTTTTTGGGATGTTAGCATGGTGGGATGTGCATTTGTGGAGGCTCCCAGTCCATTTAGTAGCTTTAACAGGGTTTTTTGGAGTGTGGGTGATTGTCAAAGTACATGAATTGCGCGAAACATCGTAAACACCGAGTCTTCTGCGGTTGCGCGTGTATCACCAATCGCAAATTTGTTGAGCTCTGAGGAATGTGGTGCACAGCGAAGGAAACCGTATGTGGCCGTCAAAATCCGTATGCAAGGCAAAAACATTCGTTGTCCTACGACTATCGCATACCCTTCCACAGCCACCAGACCAAATGAGGGAACATGTTCGCTTTCGGCAAGATCAACACAAATTCCTACTAGATTCTTCATTTTGACTGCCAAGCTGCCGTTCCCCGGATAGCTCAGCAACAGACGATCGCGAAACGACGGCCAGGAGCTGTCGAGAAGCCTTGCGAAGGCCTCCTTCTCCATGCTGCGATGCAGGTTGTCTTGTTCTCCGTGTGCTGTGTCGGACTGAAGCTGCAGGTCTTGCGGAGTGGCGTCGGTGTGAAGACGAAGCTTTTGAAACAAGGAGCGCTGAATGCTACGTCCATCTGTGCATCCGAACTCTTCTGCTCTTCCATACGCACAAGCTTTTCCCGGCTTGAATTACTGAATTGAAGGGCGGCGAACTGTGCATGTCAGCATTGTGCAAACCACACAGCCCGGTTGCTTTCGCAACCGGGTCCAGCGATGCAGTTCAACAGTTCTGAGCACGTACAAGGGAGCAATCTTCACTCGAGGATGTAAAGCCGGAACGTCGATCTTTCAATCAGAGCGGACCTGAAGGCGCCATCAAGAGTAGGCCTTGGCTGATTTCACCATTGACACCACTTCTCTCTCCTCTCTGCTCTCCGGCTTCATGTCAATCTTCGATTTGCCAGAAGCTCCTCACGCCAAGGGGCCACAGGTCGATTCGCGAATCATATCAGCGAACGTTGCTCCGTCCTCTCGTCCTGAAAGAAGCTTCTGCAGGCATACTGTGTTCTCTCCCGTCATCTCGATGCTTTAGGACATTAAGAACTTGAACCATGTCGTCAATGCCGGCCTGGCATCTTGCCAAAGGCATTCCTTGGACCATACGACACCATGGCGAGAGAACGAAAGGCATGCTTCCTGAATCCTGAACTTGGACTTGCTCTTTTCAGCTCGAGAAGCGAGGGCACGGTCAAGGGGTCGTCCATTGCATTGACGACGAGCGTTGGAGTCTGGACAAGCGGTGCAAACAACACCTGAGGCCGGGTACAGTGAAGGGGTACTCGTACTCGGTCTTTCAAACCCATGTCAAGATCGGTCAAAGGAAAGCGAGATATAGCGTGGCCCTCACCAAGAGATGCTCAAGCACCGATTTCGGCCGGCTCTTAGCTTTGACACGGTGGAATGGCCCACTGTACGGCCGATTCCGACACGCTTGTGACATACTCATCAGCGAGGAGGCTGGCTTCCAGTCTTAACGCAACAATCTCCTATTGATGCTGCCCAGAGGGGCCTTTTCGCTTCCTCTTGCCAGGGCACGGGGTTCTCGTGGGCAAAATAGTCTTTGTCAGAGGAATAGCCAGCAAATGGTGCCACGTGCGACAGAAGCTCCTGCAAGTCCTGAGCAAAGGGGTTTCAGCTGCACAGTTCTTGCGACGACTTTACATACACGGCCCTCTCGGCACCTGACGGAGGAGTTCACGGCAGCCTCGTAGGCAGCCGGATTGTGTGCACGGAGGACCTGCTCGTTCTCGAGCAAGAACTTGCTTTTCCTTATTCCCAAGAGCCCAGTCACAAAACGAATGGGCAGAGCCAGACAGGGCAAGCTGTCAACACATCTGCATGTGTCAGGCCGGGCGCGTGCTGCTGAGGCAAAGCCAACTGTAGGGAAACTTGAAGCCATTGAAGCCTGCGGCTGCAGCTTCAAAGGGGGCCATTGCTACTCATGCAAGGTTTAAGGCTGCGTGAAGCCGAGACGCACGTTTCCAGATTGTAGCCAGGCGCAATGCAGGCCGTAGCAACAAACTTCCTGTTGGCAATGCCAGACACAATCTTTTCTGACTGTCTGCGCAAGACAGTTCATATGGGTGGTTGTCAAAATTATGGTTCCTTTTTGGGTACCCTACATATCAGGTGCCGTATTATAATAAGGACCCAAAAAGGGACCCTAATTTTGACAGCCACCCATATGTGCGACAAGCACTTACATAGACGGCGGTTCAGACAACAAGTCAGAGCCGGTCGGGATTTCGTAGACTTATGGAGGCTCCAAAGATAATTTCAGCCGGTGCGGCGGTGCAGTCAAATCACCATTCTTCCGGCGTTCGTCATACTTGCCGACCGCCTCGATTGGCAACTTACCTCAGCCAAATTAACGTTGCAAAGGAAGCAGTGCGACGGCAGCCGAGAACATCGGCTAGCAACGCTTAGCACATCCCAAGCAGAAATGCTGTGGTCAGAGAGACGGGGCACGTTTGAACAGGCTCCTATGATGCCACCGTCGACCCCTGCACTCGGCCAGCGAAGACTCCAAAACAACGTAAGGCATCTCCGGATTCACCCAGCGTTTCGGATAGAGACCTTGGCAATCCTGTTTTCCAATCAATCAACCGTACCTGCTCCCTTCTGCTCCCAAGACTAAGTCGAAGATACTGCCAGAGGAGAAGCCGATCCAAAACGTGGGTGCATTGTTCGTCCTCTCCTAGCAAGGTCTGATGGCACGGGAACGGCTGCATGCCGCATTGAATTTACAACACTTGACTGCAATGCCAAAAAGCTCCCATCGCCTGCCCGCGCCACATGACAGTCTATGCTGGTAATGCCAAGCTGACAGTCCTGCACAGCACGAATGATCTGCTCGGAATCATCCTCGGCCGGGCCGGGCGGCGTGCGCAAAATGGAGTGTTTCGCGACTGCTGGATATGGTGACTGTGGCACTTCGTCCAGTTGTGTCTTACGTAGCCCTTATGAAGCAAGGTTTCGGCTCGACATGGATGTGCGACAGGCACCGCTTTCTGCCAGGACACTGAGTCTCCAAAAAGGTTCCATCGTGGGCCACGGAGTTTTCGGCCATGACCCCGGCGCTCGACGACCTTTCAATCAGCGCGACAATCGCAATCTTAGAAGTAGAGCACGGAGCAGCTTAAGTGCACTCAGAAACCTTCTGCAATCACCTCCGGCTGAGAGCAGATGCCGTTGCAAAGTTCTCTTTGCTTTGCGCTTTGCGCTCTGCACTCGAAGTGCTGGCTACCATTGATGCAAGCCTAGACTGTTGGTTTGTTTGACATGCAGCTGTCCTCCAGCCTGCACCAGCAAACACCGGACTGAAGTGCAGGAAAGTACAGATTCTATGCCAATGTTAAGCTCAGCCCACTGGATGCCGTCCGAGACTACGGAGATGAGGCTGCAGATGGGGTGGAATAAAATCACAAAGCATTGCAGCGCAGTGATTGGAGAGCACAAAGTACTGCACGGATAAGCCGACTACTGAGATGTCTGCGACCAAGAAGCAACGATTCGGAAACCACGGGTGACCGCTCGGCGGAGAAATGAAGACCCAGGAACGTCCTGGTGGTGTGGAGCGCAGTGGGCACGAAGAAGAGACTCCACATTGACATGCTGTGTTGAATAAGTAGTTGGTGCAGAAACGTCGTCGTCGCCGTTAGGATGCAACACGTATCGAACAATCGTGCGGACAAGAAGCAAGTATGCTTCCTCCTTGCTACTTCTGCCTGCAAACTGCTTTCAGAACCCGTCAGTCCTGGGCCGTACAAGTCCTTAGGAAGCAGGTGTGCTAGATCTGCTCTTGACCAGGCCCAACACGAAAGCCGACATCTGAGCATCATCTAGAAAATCAGGGCTGCAAACAAGGCCAACTCTTCGGAACACCACCGTCCTCGATTGACTCCAATTTCTGCAGGAGCATATCTTGCCTGCTTGTGCCTGTCGCGTCTGAGGTGCTGACAGACCGGGCTCAACGATGATAACCTTTGCATGCTGGTTTGTGCTCGGACTCTACGAGACGGTATTGCAATGGACGCGTCAAGGCACGACGGGGGGTGTGAAAACGCGCGCCCGGTCCCAAACAAACACCAACTGGTGTAAGTGTAAGAAGGGACGCCGTGCATCTCAATGTACGACAACGAGTGTCAAACCCCTCCCGACCCCACCCGCACGGGTGCCTGTGAGTTTTGAAACGATTTTTCTGAGGAAAAACCGTGGCCATGTGGACAGAAGCCAAAAGACGTCCGTCGAACGTCCTATCCACCGAGTGACATGCGCTCAGCAGAGAAGTCACAGCATGCGGTGCCAAAAATCACTTTTAGAGTGAACGCACGGTGACACCCGCTCGCACACAATTTCTGCTAGGGTAGAAAGGTAATAGTAATCATAGCTTGGGCCATTCCGAAAGCATGGGTTTATGTAGATGAGTTATGCGACGACGCACAACATCTGAGTCCAATTTCCATGCGTATGCTTTCCCACATTTATCCACCTCCTTAGTCGTGGGTAACTCGTCCACACTAGGCCCGGTTCAGAAGCATGCCAAGCGGAGTTGCGAAATGCAAAACCCCAGCATAGACGCTCAAATGGTCTACTTATTTTGGAAGCATGCGAGGCCCGCTTCCAAAAAGTAAAACCCAGTGTATGCGCCGATCGATGTGTACTCCTCACAGCATTGAAGCAGATTGAATATTTCCCTCGTGACACATAGCCAAAGGTGACTACAAAGCACCCGTGGCAACAAAGGAACACCACGTTCCTGAAATTATAACATATCCATCAATGCTCAGGCCTTGAAGGTGACAGTCATGCTATCATGCGGCAGTCATAATATACTGCATACTGGGAGTCTTCAAAATCATAGATGCAGACACAGACAATATGCCATTACAACAACTTGAGCCTAGGCAAGCTTCAGAATGCCTTCCCCCACGAGCATCTGGGTTTTAGTACGGTTCTTGTGCAGCAAGCATGACTCTGTCTTACCAGGTGCAAAAAGCCCTTAACTTACAGTCGAGGTCGCCGGAGCATCGCGTGGCAGTGAACAGCCGGAGCTGCTCGTGCTCTTCCTGGAGCCGCATTGCTGCAGTGGAACCATCCTACGCTGCAAACCTGTTGTCTGGAAGTCATGCACAACATTACAAAATCAAGGCAAGCAGCTCCACCGGAGGAAAATAGTTGACGATTACCTCACAGACAGACAGCGCCACATGGACACGAAGCAGCCAATGACCACACTGTCTCTTTCCAGCGACTGCGACAACAGGGAAGTAAAGACGAGCACTACGTCAGAGGAGGCAAAGCCAACTCCAGAAGCCCATTTGGCCAGTTGACCGACTGCGAGTGCATTCGAACACTGTGTGTCCATGCGGGTCCATGCGCACTCCTTCCCACACACGATGACAGCAGTCTGCCGACTCCTATCCGGTCCTGCAGCCCTCCCCGTTCTCGAGACGTTCTCAAATTGTCTGTACCGCAAAAAAAACGCCCGGGCTCAGCTGCTTACACGCCTGGCCCCCGGAATCATAGCTCAAAGGCATGTGTATACCCGCGTGTGTTCAAGCCTGGCATACCTGTTCCAACGGGGCGTGCCGTAACAAGATGTTTCAGAGGTCACAGGCAAACGCTCCATGGCACCATTGATGACTTCTGGAGCTCGAAGCTCTAAGCCGAAACTTACAACGCACTGTACTCGCTTGACCCTGGCAGCCAGGGTCCGAATCCACTACTCGACATGGTCTGTTTAGCACAGTTCCAAGTCGCATCGTCCTCCATGCAGCGCTGGTTGCTCTCACTCTCTGGCTTGGACTTGTCCTCGCGCCACACGGCTTTCTTTCACAAGCTAGCAATTGCTACTGGGCAATCTCCTGCAAACCCGTCACGGTCAAGACCTGAGACTCGTAGACGAGGGGGAAGAATGCTGATGACAACCTGTGTTGCATCTTCACCAATTAGGATGCATCGTTTTTGTGCCCGAGCCGTCTAATGGAGGGAGAGCGAGCTGCACACTGCACAATGCCTATTGCTTTGCCAGGTGCTTGCTCACTTCAGCATGGATCCGGGCGAGCATCTTGAGGGTGGACAGACAAGTTATGCAGACTTTCTCAGGCAGCATGCGCCCCGACCAATCACGAGCATTGCCAGCACAATCGAATAACAACGACAACTACGAGCATCAGGAGAGCATCCTCAGGAAAAGAGCTGATCACAAGTCTTGGCTCCCAGGCAGGTTGTAGACAATCCACGGCACAAACCTCGGCATTACAAGGCATTGAGAAGCGAAGGGTCTGTCACGAGGCCCATGATGCTACCTAGCTTCACCCAGCTTCATGATAACTTGACTTCCGCATGAACCTACAAGAGCGTCAAAAATTGTCCTGTTCTTTCCGGGACCTTCCCTCATCGGGATGGATGCCGCGCGAACTGCACTGGAAGTCTCGCTTGACCCAACACCGTGGCAACTGCAGGCGCTTTTCTCTAAATTTGACTGCTCTTTCTGGCAGCCTGAGATTGGGCTTGCTGTAAAGTCTTGACTACACATACGCAAGGAGCATGATTCTAAGGGAAGGGAATGAGCCAGACGCACGGCCCCGGAAGCATGATCGTTGGGAGTCAAGCGGCTGCCAATTTCCACCGAAGGCCCACAATGGCGGGCTGGGAGCCCGCTGGGCCGTCGCCATCTGCCTGTAGACACGCTTCCTTGGCCAAACGAGGACAAGCCCCACTGCCAGTGCATGCGGCTGCTTGTACAAGACACGATTGTTTCTCTGACGCCACATGCAGCTCTGTCTAACTAAAATCGGGAACGACGGCGATTGATATGGCGTGTGCGGCTTGCCTCTGTGCAGTGTGCTTCAACTGGACGGCTGCACATGGACCGGGCAGGGCTGCGTGCTGTGTGAAGACACGCGAGCTCTCGATTGCGTCCGTCTGCTCAGGAGGCTCGAAGAAGCTGTGTCCACGCTGCCGCTTCGCACTACGCTAATGTGCACTCGGACGAGTCTCAAGTCTTCGCCTGTGCCAACGAAGACATCCACGCGGCCGAAGGTTCGCAGCGAAATGTACAGGATAAGCGCAATTCCTGAGCATGCCAAGATCTTCGTGTCCGCATCTTGCAAATCAGCCGATGAACCGAAACAGTTGCCTGTACATCCGTAGACCACAGCGGGAGCGACCACTTCGGCGATGTTGCCTTCCGTCTTGGGACAACAACTGACCTTGAAGCAAAGTCAACGAGATCACCCGGTGTACCGGCTTACTTACAAGCTTCCCGCGGCTCCGAACTCTGCATCTTTCAAGACCGAACCGCGAGCCTGGAAGAAGGCTCAAGATAGCCCGGCAGGTAATGAAAAGCATAACCTCGGTGGCTGCACCCGAGGCAGACATACCTGCTGAGCTGCCAATGGAACGTCCTCAAAATCTTCCCTTGCTACCCACGGAGTATACACAGAGTACTCGCCGAGCTGTGAATTGTATCGGTCACTGGGTGTTCTGCGACATTTCTGCTACTTGTACCCGCAGTGCCATATACCCATTGACATTAAACGTCATGTTTACAAGGAATGCTGCATCGTGAGCATGCATGCACCTGCCGTCTCGTTTCTTGCACCCAAACCTAGCAACTCGAAACAGGCAGATGCATCTGCTGTGATTCCCCGGACCTGCCGAGCTTGTGCTTCTTCATGCGGCACCCTGCACGCTAGTCTCGTCAATTCGAGGAGCAAGCGCTGACGTGCCTGTGCGGCGACGACACTGTCATACAAAACCAACAACGATGCACTGCTCAGATTGGTGATTGCAGCCAGGCCGCCCGACACTGCGCGACCCACATCGCTATTGAACATCCAGGATATCAGGGCTCCAACGGAGGGAGCCATCTCGATGTTGTTGCTTTCTGGCTGGGGGGGTACCTTCTTAGGCTTTGTCGTCTGGCACGGCCCAACCACGGAACCGGGGTGTGATGTCCCGACAAGCACAGGTCCCTATGGAGGATGCTCTGCATACACTATATAGACTCTATATTATGCATGTAAATGTGCGGGTTGTATGTTAATATATATATATATATATATATATATATATATATATATATATACATATACATATAATGTATGTATGTATATATATATATATATATATATACATATATATATATATATACATATGTTTATCTATATGTATGTACGTGTACATATCTATACAAACATGTTATAAGCCAGTGTGCTATGTTGAAAGAAGATCGTCCGAGCTGCATGTCTTCTCGCTTCGTTGTCAAAACCAGATGCTTGCACGAGCTATGCATGTCCCGAGTAGGTTCTGCTTGAAGGAGCGGGGCGCAGCTTTCGGGGTCTTAACGACTTTGTCCAAGCATCCGTTCTCGATCTCTTTGTTAGGTTATGCCTAGCTTGTACACGGGCCAACTGAGGTGCGATAGTTTTCCATGGCGACAACGTGGGGACTCCTATTGCGAAGAAAATTTCGACGGGGCCTCGTTGTAACTGTTCGGAAATATCTACAACAAACGGCCGGGTTCATACCGCAACAAGCTGAGGAAGCTTGAACATCATACAGCCCAAGCACTTCTCTTGTTTTTGCTGCCACTTTCTTGGCGACACAGGCGAGCACCGCCTTGCTGTTTGCTTGGCTGTCCTTAAAGGTGATCCATGCAGACATGTTGCATCTCGACCTTAAGACCAGGTGCCCGTACCTTCTGCTAGTGCTTCCGAAACCCCCGCCAGCAATGCTAGCTGGCTGAAGTCATGCTCGTTCTGCACGACTGAAAATCAAAGGTGGTGAACCATATCGGGTTCCTGTTCAGCACAGCGCCGCGTTCGGTGGCTTAGGTGTCAGCCAGTGTCCAGCTCTGGATAATGATGCTTCTACCAAGCTTAACATCTGCACTTTAACCCAAACCCTGTGCATCCTGTGCCACCGGACCCAGCTCTTTCTGCTTGCGCTCAGAAAGGCATATTCGGCCCTTGGATGTGCAAGCTGAAAGCATGCGGGAGAAAAGCTCTTCCATGCCAAGCTACCGAAGATCTTGCAGGTGACGCTGTGCATCTTCGGCCCACCGTCCCAGCTCCTCAGAGACCAAGGGGTGCACGATAACCACACGAAACTCAATAATCAGCAAGGCCGCTTGTTTGTGTTCATCCAGATCGCCACCATGGACAGCAAAAGGATCGGTGGGATCGGGCCCTGCAAATCTGACGGTCACTGCGACGCAGCTTCGGCTGGCAATGACTACGGGCTACCCGGCTACCCGTCACCTTGGAGATGGAGCGCCAATTCCACGGATCCTGCACGGAAGACTCCCACGTGCCGCCCAAGCATCAAAGCAGTCTCCCCACTCAGGACCGGACTTCTGGGCTTGGGAGCCCACCACCGCTGAAGAAGCGGGGCTTCGGCACCTGCAGCGAAGGCTGCAAAGCGAAACTTCGGCGGTTCTGGAGCTGCAGGAAGGGCTGAAGCTCGTTGCTCCAACCAGGTCACGCACAGTACCCTGGTGCTTGTGTGATGACTGAACTTGATTATCTCCTAGGGCAAAGCCTGGCTTCTGTAAAACATCGGCATGGTTTTGGACAAAACCCTGAGACTATTTCTCTTGTTAGAGAAGCTGGAATTGTATACTGCTGGTGAAGAGTCTTAATGCATCTTCCCAAGAAGCATGAACGCTTGTGACAGCACAAACAAGCGCGTGCAGTATGTTGTAGGAAGAAGCAAAACAACCGTGAAAACTAGCATGTTTGACATGTTCGCGACTGTCCCGAATGCTTGTAACATCTTGTAACAGATGTGACAGCGCGTCTTGTTCCGGACACATCCAACATCCTGCTGTTTTTGGCATGTTCAAAAAAGACATGAACCCTTGTGAGGGCGTGTCTTGTTCGAGAAACAAACATCCTTGTGGCAACATTATGTTGTGCAAAGGGCAAGAATGCTGTAAATGCCAGTCTTTTTGGACATGGTCGCCGTAGGAAAGGACGTTAACTCCCCAACCCCCCGCCCTCAGGCTCTCCCCCCACCTCCGCAAAGAAAACCTACCACGCGAACCCCAAAACAACTCGTTAAGACCAGGGTCCTGGTGTGCGCACGTCACTCCAACTATCTGGGCGGATGCAGGTACACCCACGTCTCCTTCCAAGCGTCCGGCCAAGGCCAAGGGTAGTCGACTCTGGGGAAGCAGTCGAGCTGCAAGAAGCCTGCGAAGAAAGAGTCGCTTAACGTCAGGATGCAGGCGATTGGACATCAGGAAAACCTGAACATCCTGCCTTTGATGGAGAAGGCCCATGATGAAGTAGGCTCTTGGGAAGCCCGGCTACGCTGGAGCAGATAAACTTGCAGGCGCCCCATGTTTCGTGTATCTGGCTGTTTGTGCCTGTGCTGTCTCCAGGGGAGCGAGAATGTCTAGCCTTCCTTTAGAAATGCTTCTGCAACTGAAAAGGTTGGATTGATACGCACTCCGCGGAAGCAATTGTGCGAGCTTCAGCTATCGGCATGCGAATCAGCTGAGAAATGGACTTTGGGACGCAATCTCCAAAAAAATGCACGAAACGCTAGATGCTGACAAGGACCAGGAACTTTGCGACCTGTCGTCTAAAAGACAATCCACCTGAGCATCTAATTGAAAATTGCCATGTTTTCGTGCTGGAATATAACTAAACTTCCAATGAAAAACTCACTGGCCCTTGGTTCGTGTTTACCACAAGTTGGACAGACCGTCGTAGTGTGCAGCAGACAGAGATGTTGACGAGAAGCAGCCCACATTTTGTTCTTACCACCACAGCAAGCGCAAGTGGCAAGATTCTAAAAACTGCGCAAAGGCGCCCTGCTACGACACTGATGTCGCGTCCTCGTCGTTTCCAGCTCATGGGTGCACGCTGAGACATAAGAACCATCTCGTCAAAGTGAACAGTCTGCTCGGGGCCAGCGGCAAGTGCGACCCGGCACCCCCGCCGCGGCGCCCGACAAGCGCAGCTGCCCCATGAGACACAAGGAGGACAAGCAAGCCATGCCACCGATCGAGGAAGACCATGGATGCAACATGATCTGACATCGTCGAAGGGTGAGTTGTTCATGGTCGTTCCCATTCGCCAGGGACCTTTGCTTGCTATCAGCTGCAGTGCACACGGAAAGGATTGGCTGCGCACAGCTAAACCTGCTCGTATCCATCACGCAGGGGATGTTCCTATCCACATTCCCGGGAACTGTATGCCAAAAGAGCACCCAGCTTGCTAAACAAGTGCTCCTGTGCCAACACGGGTACCCGGCTTGCTAAGCAAGTGCTCCTGTCCCAGCATAGGTTAATCGAGCTTGCTCTTCGACCTAGCTTGGCTTAGTCAGAACGAGAGTTGCTGCAGCATGGATGCCTTTCCGGTAGCTATTGGGAAAAAATTCACTGTCTGAAGGCACGGTAGAAGCGAGCCCTAAAGAAGATGCCCAGCAGATGCTTGCAGCGTACGAATTCTTGTCGCTTCGCTTCTCCCTGTGGCTTCACTTGCATGCTCTTTGGCTGTGGAAACTACACCAAGCAGGCAGAAAAGGATTCGCAGTCGTATGTCCAGACTCCGTTCTAGCTCAAGCTAAATCATCAGCTCTCCTTCACTGCCATGCTTTTTGGTGTAGACGCTGACTATAGGTCCAGGTGACCAAGGCACGGGAGAGAAGCCGAGGTCTCTGGGCTTGCGGACTTGCCTATCGCCCACCTACGTAGAGCCGTACTAGCCTCCGTGCCTGGGCTCCCTTAAAGGATATCCCAAAATTCAAGGATGCAGGGCTGGCTCCTTTTTCCTCCACGATCCAGGAATCGAGCATCTCAGACACGTGTGTGTGTGTGACAAACTGGCTGCCAGCAGCTGTCTGTCCCCCAGCTAGTGTCAGCTAGTGATGCTGCGCAAACGGGGATTTGACAAGAAAGCTTCAGCATGCGCACAGTTTAGAGCGCTCCCCAGTGGCGGAAAAAGGAGTTGTCGTCACAACCCACTATCTAGTGGCCTTGCCCGCGCAAGATTCGGAATGTCGTCCTGGTTCGCTGCTCCGGAGTTGTCCGTGGAAGGTATATATGACAATTGACAGGTCCTCTATGGTCGCACTGCTTTTCTGCGTTGAGCGAAGGCTAGATCCAAGTTACAAGCGTGATGCTCAAAGCCTATCATATTTCGCATCTTGAGGCAGCGAACTTAAAGATTTGGCGCACGCAGACTCCACCAGAGCCCGCTTCACTGCTTGATGTGTCTGCTAATTAGTTAAACTGTTTTTTGTGGGTTGTCTGAACAATCATCAGCTTTGCATGTATGATCTGTGTCTGTAGAATCTGCGGTGGAGAACTTCAAAGGAAAATTGCACCTGGCCCACTGGATTGTCTTCTCTTTTGGAGTGTATTGGAT